AAGAACTTTTCACTTGTGGGTGTTATCCATCCATATTTACTGTATTAGAAAATAAAACTGTGAAAATTTAAAGACCCACATTTATTCTTTCTTTTGCAATAACAGTGACAGACAGTTGCAGAAAACATCAACAGCGCCGTTTTCCTCAGCTGATCCTCTAAACTCACTTCTAACCCTCTATGTGCTCACCAATCCTGAACCAATTATGTCTTGAATTTGCCCAATTCTAGTCCCAGCCTCAAATCTCATGCACACCTTACCCTCACCCCCCAGACCCTGCCAAGACTCTCAGGGTAGCTGAGCCCGCGCAGCTTTATCCACATGTCCCTTCGTGGCATTTTGGGGAGCCAGGATTCAACACATAAAGAGCAGATTTCTATGAAAAATAAGAAGAGTGGCATGAATACATGTCTTTACGAATCTCCCTGACGTCAGGCTTCCCAGCAGCAGCTGGACCTCATCTCCATGTCCACCTTCACTCTGTTGGGGACACCATCCTGGTCGAAGCATCCGGAGATGCTAGAAACCAGGAGCAGGTGAGCGGCCTTCTCGGGTCATCGAGGACGTTCTCCTGCGGTTGACCCCGAACCTTAGCTCAGGGCGTCTCTCCGGGCGGCCTCCGTCTGGATGGGGAGCCCACGCCAGGTGCGGCTCACTGGGGCCCTGGGGAATCTTGGTCCATCTCGCTCCAAGGACGGGTCTCTGGCCCCCGTGATTCTGTAACATCACACGTTGATTGTTTGGAAAATGCTGATTCAGAGTCTCCCTTTCCATGTCCACGTGGGACTCACACCTACATCACACGCTCGGAGAAGGGCCTGCAGGTTGGGGAGCTGTCTCACTGATGCTTGCAGGTTCCAAAATTCTAATTTCCAGTGAGTGAAAGTGAAAGTCGCTCAGTCATGTCTGACTCTTTGCCACGCCATGGACTATCCGGTCTATGGAATTCTCCAGGCCAGAATTCTGGAGTGGGTAGCCATTTCCTTCTCCAGGGGATCTTCCTAACCCAGGGATTGAACCCAGGTCTCTTGCATTGCAGGCGGACTCTTAACCAGTTCAGCCACCAGAGAAGCCCAATTTCCAGTAGAAAGCTCAAATTTACCATGGCAACAAAGACTGTCTGCTGTTTCTCTTGTTTGGGGGCAAACGCCTGCCAAGACCCCAAGTGTGAACTGCACGGCCAGCTCAGCACGGGTCAGGGTTTGCCCGTCGCCCGAGCGAGTGCTGCAGGAGGCTGACACCTGAGGGCCCAGACTGAAGTCAGCTGCATCAGGGGTGTTTGCCGGCTCACCCCGAGACCCGGGGCTCGCTCGGACACTTCCTCCCCGGGGTGTGTGTGAGGGGATCCTGCCCGTGGCCACGCCGGGATCCTCGCTGAGGAGCCAACAGCTTCACCCGCTGGGGCTTCTGTACCATCCGTGCCCACGGGAGCCCCATGAAAAAGCCAAATCGCCCTGTACTAGTTTCTGAGGCTGTGGTAACAGAGCCTTCAAGGCTTAAACACCAGAAACTCGTTGTCTCCAAGTCCTGGCGGCTGGAGCCCAAGGCCAGGTGTCAGCACGGTCACTCCCTCTGGTCCAGCTCGGCTGTGATCTTTGCGGCGCCTCACGTTGTAGAGGTGTCAGCCTGACCCCTGCCTCTGTCTTCAGGTGACCTTCTCTGTGTGTGTCTATGACCAAGTGTCCTCTGATAAGGACAGTAGCCATGCTGAGTTAGGGCCCATCCTAATGACCCCACCTTATATGAACTGGGGGACACAATCCAACCTTTAACATACTGCTGTCTTGTTATGACGCTCGTCTAGAGCTCAGGGCCCCCCAGGGACCTGTGGACCCCGCCTGGGAGAATGCTCCATGGGGGTAACTGCGGAACAGGCTGCGTGCCCCCGACTTTAATTCTGCCCCTCGCGGAAGCCCAGCAATTCCCACAGCAATCGCTTTTGGGGGGAGGGTTAATAGGAATCGTTCTTATGCTTCTCCGAATGGAGCTGTTCTCAGCACCACCCTCACCCATGAAGCCGCCCTGCCAAGCACACCTCCCCAGGTGACAGGCGCACGTTGTGCCTTTATTGTGATCCCGGTGGCTGATACGGGTGTGATGACATCTTGCCTCCTGTGCTATTTTGTGCAGCAATCTTTCAGTGAATCAAATATTTTGAAAAAGAAAGAAATGGAAAAGAAGAATCTCCACCCAAAATAGCATTGGGCCCCGCTGGCCTTTTGGCCCGGCCCGAGTGGGGGAGGAGACGGGGGGAATCAGAGGCCCGCGGGTGAGGGGACAGTCACAAAGACAGCCTGTCCCCAGCACAGAGCCAGCCTTGTTGGTGGGACATCCGTGGGCGGCACAGCTGGGCGCTGGGCAGGCGCTGGGTGGGCAGCTCCCGGCGAGATGGCCCCACTCTGCCCGTGGTCAGACCTCTGCGGCCCCCGCCCTCTGCCCCAGGCTGTGCCATCAGACCCCACCTCTCCCCTGCGTGACCGGTTCGGGCTGGGGGGGGGTGGAGTGGCTGGGGCCCCCTGGGCTCTGCCCCGCTCTGGGGCTCTAAGCAGGGCCCCTGGCCCTCCATGCCTTGTCTGTGCCTGTTTCTGGGGCCCTGAGGTGCTCAGGAACCCCCTAACCTGGCAGCCTTGCAGAGTGACACCCTGGGGCAGGAAGCACAGGGACTCCACGCAGGGACCCCAATAGCTGAGTGACTTGGGCCCTGCATGTGTCTGTCCTCGGGGGACAGGGAGCCCTGACCTGAGCGGACTCCTGGGGCGGGGGCACCTCAGAACCAGCAGCTCCTGGGCAGGAAAGGGGGACCTGAGAGCTGGGGGAGTGGGCTCCCCTCAGGCTGCCCAAGAGGCAGGGCGGGCGAGAGGAGGCCGCGGCAGGAGGAGGCCTTTGGGGGGAGGAGGGAGGCTGGGCAAGCAGGCAGGTGTAGGTTTTGGGGCTCCCAAGAGACAAATCACCCAGCCTAGAGGCAGGGTTCCCAAAGTCCAGACCATCCAGCCGATGACAGCGCCTGGCTAAGTGGGGACAGAGGGTGCGCTGGGGGCTGTCCCTCTGACCTCCAGGTCTAGCGTGGGCACCCTTGGGCCAGCAGAGGCTGCTCTGGGAGCTGGGGGTGGTGGTGCTCATGCCTGCTCGGGGGAGGGTCTCAGCCAAGCAGATGGGCTGGCAGTCCTGGCCCAGCAGGGGCTGTGCTTTCTGGTGGGAAGGTGGATGCCCAATTCTCCCCTTTTCCTCTCAAGCTCCTTGTCTGTGGGACCCCGCCCAGGCATGGGAGCAAGGACCCTCCTCTCGAGGCCTGGAGCTGGAGGGAGCACCTTCCTTTCCCAGGAAGAGGGCTCCATGGTGGTCAGGCTCGGTGTTGCCCAGCTGACCTTGACTGGGGGGCTGAGCCGGACAGATGTGGCCCAGCATGGCCTGTCCCAGCTGCGAGTCATCAGGGCTTCCGAGGCCCAGCCCGGCAGGGGACAGTCCCCTACTCCGGCCATCTCCCACCCTGAACGGCACAACCAGCCTCTGTGTCCAAACGTCCTGTGGTTGCCCACCAGGCAGAGACCCTGGAACCCCAGGTGGGTCCTCCCCTGGCTTTGGGGGTACACGGGCTGGCAGCAGGTGCTGCGCGCCCCCTCCTGGCCTGCCGGCCGCTTCTCAGAGCGGCCAGCAGAGGGCACCACAAGCCGCCGCCGAGGGTGGGCGTGGCGCGGTCTCGCCGGCCTGCCAGGCGCCTGTGCGCGCCCCTGACCCCCGCCTTCAGGGCCCCAGTCTCTGCGCCAGCCCCACCCTCGCCAGCTGCCTGCCCCGCCCCGCGGGCCCACGCCCTCTCTGGGGCCCCTCCCGTGGCTTGGGGCTCACCCTCCGAGTCTAGTTTCGATCTTGACCCCGTGACTCATGCCCCCTCCCTACTGGAGGTTTGACAGACCGGCTCCCACCCCTCCCATCGGCCTTCCGGACCTCGGGGCTGGGAGAGCCACGTTCCCACAGTAGGCACGCAGCCACAGCTCCCAGGAGTGTCCTCCAGGCCCTCCCGCCCGGGTGTGGAAGGGTGAGCAGCCTCACCGGAAGGTCCCCAGCCCAGCCTGGCCACTGCCTGCCTCTGCCCAAAAGCTTTCAAACGTGCAATCCCAGGGGGGCTCCAGAACCCACAGTGACCCCAGCCCACCTCCAGGACACAGACACGGGGCTGCTGGGAGACTGAAGGGGTTTAATGGCGTGGATCCTGAGCCTGGGTCACCTCTCCTCCTTGGGGTGTGACCCCCAGAGTCCAGGGCTCTGAGACTCACCTCCTACCGCACAGCAGGCCTGGCGAGCAGGCCTGAGACCGGAGCTCCGCGGGGGCTGGGAACAGGTGTGGGGGGTGCTGGGGACAGGCGTGGGGGGGGGGGTGAAGGGCACCCAGGGCCAGTCTTCAGGTGAATAGGGTTCAGTCCGTCCTCGATCCTCCAGGCGGTGAAGGAGTACAACAGGCGTCCCACTCCTGGCGGGGGGCGGAGGTGGAGGCCCCCCTCACCCCCGCCCCGGGCCACCCCAGGAGAGCAGTGCACTAGGTGGCTGCTGAGACGGTCTCCGCCCACAAGGGGCACCAGCCTGGCCAGCTCAGAGCCAAGGGCAGCGGAGTGGCTGAGGTCTGCTGCCCCCGGCCTGCAGCCCACCTTTCAGAAGAGCAGGGGTGCGGGAGCGGGTGGGGCCTGAGTAAAGGTCCCTGCCCGCTCTGGGGGTTCCTGCGGCCTCCGGGAGGGGCGGAGGACGGGCGGGGCTGGGGCGGGGCTGGGGCTGGGCCCGCACTGCTCCAGGCTCAGGGGGCAGGTGGATGAGGGGCTGGCACCGCCTGGCGGCAAGTTTGGCTGCAGAGAGTGTGGGGGCCCCGGGGGCGTGCGCGGGGGCAGCGCCGAGCCCGAGGTCAGGTCCCTGGGGCCCCATCCAGCGCGACTGTCCATCTGAGTCCAGGGTCTGAAACACGTCCGCGAACAAAAATAACACTCCAGCCGCGGGGCTCGTCCCCAGCTGCAGGCCTAACTGTCCTCCTCTGCGCGCCTCTGGGTCTTGGAATGGAACTTGCTCATGAGCTCCTCCAGCTCCGACCCGCCCTGCTGCTTCTGGGGGAGAGGGGGGCGTCGGTCAGCGTCCCGCAAGCCGCCGTCCCGGCAACGGGGCGGGCGGGCTCACCTCTAGGAAGGCCTTCTGCACGGTGAGTTGGCTGTACACACGGGCGCCTTCCTCCCCGCACACCTTCCGCAGCTCATCCTTGTTGAGGGAGAAGAGCTGCGGGGCGGTCAGCACGCCCAGGTGCTCCACGACCCTGCGGGGAGAGCGCCAGCGTGAGCACAGCCCCGCCCCCTGAAGGCCTGGGCCTCCAGCCGGGCAACCGTACCCCCCCCCCCGCCACCCCGCGCTCACCGCCCCCGCTCACCGCGCGCTGAAGGCCTGGGCCTCCAGCCGGGCAACCGTACCCCGCCCCTGCCACCCCGCGCTCACCGCCCCCGCTCACCGCCCACTGAAGGCCTGGGCCTCCAGCCGGGCAACCGTACCCCCCCCCCTGCCACCCCGCGCTCACCGCCCCCGCTCACCGCGCGCTGAAGGCCTGGGCCTCCAGCCGGGCAACCGTACCCCCCCCCCGCCACCCCGCGCTCACCGCCCCCGCTCACCGCGCGCTGAAGGCCTGGGCCTCCAGCCGGGCAACCGTACCCCCCCCCCCCGCCACCCCGCGCTCACCGCCCCCGCTCACCGCGCGCTGAAGGCCTGGGCCTCCAGCCGGGCAACCGCACCCCCGCCCTGCCACCCCGCGCTCACCGCCCCCGCTCACCGCGCGCTGAAGGCCTGGGCCTCCAGCCGGGCAACCGCGCCCCCGCCCTGCCACCCCGCGCTCACCGCCCCCGCTCACCGCGCGCTGAAGGCCTTGGCCTCCAGCCAGGCGCGGACCTCGCGGGGCCCAGACGCGTGGGTGAGCGGCGGGGGCACCGGCTGGCTGCGCTCCACCCGAAAGGGCCGAGCCGGCTGCGCCCGGATGTTGCTGATCTTCTTCACCAGCTCGTCGTTGACCTCGTCCATGTGCTGCATCAGCTCTGCGGGCATCAGGCGGCTCAGACCCGCGCCGCTGGGCCCGAGGGCTCCCCTCCCCCGCCGCCTCCCGACGGGATGCGGGGCACTGGGGTCCAGGGGCCCCATCCCTCACCGTCTTTGTTCCCTGCGAAGCTGGGGGGCAGCTTGTGGGTCGGGCTGACAGGACCCCAGTATTTCACTCCCTGTAGGGGGAGGGGGCAGAGCACAGGGTGGGGGCGCCGTTACTTCAGCTTGCATCCCTCCCCAGGCCTCTCCCCCACTCCCTGTTCCTCCGTGCACCCCCAGGACCTGCTCCGGCCCCCACCTTCCCAGCCTTAGCCCAGACCCGGGAGCTTTCATCAGCTTCCGCAGGGAGGGGTCAGGCTGGGTCTTTCAAGACCGGGCCCCAACCCCGCCGACCCAAAGCGGGACAGGGCAGACCTCCCCTCACCTGCTCCTGGGGGGCGTCCTCCAGCCGGGTCTCTGCCAGGATGTTGCCGGGCACGTAGCCTGCCTGGCCGCTGCGATTCCGAAGCTTCCACCACTGGTGGCCGTCCTCCAGCACCTGCAGGCCCAGCATCTGGCCATCACCCTGGTCCACAGCTCCCAACCCCCCAAGCCACGGGGACTAGTATGGGCTTCAGGGACCACCAGGGGGAGCCCCTCTTTACCAACGGGCCAAAGAGGGTTCTGCAGTCCCCTCTGAGCTGGCCCCGCCCGGTCCCATGAGGATGATCACACCCTGGCCAGCACCCCTGGCCCCCCGGCCTCCCACCCTCTTCCCGCTCCCCCCAGGGGTTTCCTGAGCCTCTAGCCTGACTGTGGATATAGATCACCCCCGCCCCCGAGCCGCTCCACTTTTCAGTGGGTGGCCTGGATTCAGGGCTGGCATGAAACATGGGAAGTGCCTTGAGGGGGCTCCCGGGTGGATGTGAATGACAGGGCCCTGCTGGGTCAGGGGGCTCCTCACCCAGCACGGGGTGAGTCCTCCTTCATCCTGAGTCCTGCCCAGCCCAGGGGCGCTTGACACCCCTCTGAGATCCCCAAGGGGGATCAGCCAGGCTATGCTGGGGGTGCCAGGCTGAGGACCCAGAGTGGAGCCCCGGGGTCAGGAAGACGCCTTCTCTGGGGCCCACCGCCCGTAGCCCCCACTCACCTCCAGGACTTCATCCCTCAGCACCGACAGCTCGTTGGCGTTGCGGGCCGTGAAGTCATAAAGGACCCTGACGTACTTGGCCATGGCTGGTGCAGACTCGTAGCCTCTGTGTGGAATGGGAGGGACTGAGGCCCCGCGCTGGGCTGGGGTCTCTCCTCGGCCTGGGGCAGGGCCGGGCGGGGCACAGCTTCCCAGGTGCTGGCTGCCTCCCGTCTGCAGCGCAGAGGCTGCGGCTGTCAGCTGGGATGGAAACTGTGACAGCCCCGTTGCGTCTGGGGCCCCCTGCGTGGGGGGGCAGCGGAGGCGGGTGGCACGCGGAGGCCTGTGGGCACAGCAAGGCCCGCCCCAGCCCAGGCCCCCTCAGGGGTCGCCAGGTCCAGCCCCCAGGGGACCCAGCATCAGCTGACCATCGAGGGCCGGGCAGACGCTTTCAGAGCCGCAGCCCCTCTGGCGCTGCAGACAGAGCGTGGACACGCACCACACCGCATGGGGCGTCCCAGCCCCCCCAGGCCTGTGCCTGCCGCCCATGCTGGGCCATCCCTCCTGGCCAGTCCGCTGCTAGGGCACAAGGGCACTGCTCACCCAGGTGCGGGCTCAGGGCCTGGGGACGTGGGGATGGGGCTGGGGTGGCTCCTGGGGCCCTGGCTGGGGGTGTGTCAGGACCGGCTCCAGTGGACCAGCCAGAGGCTGGAGATCAAAGGATGAAAATGTTTCTTAAGGTGACCCTAGCCCAGGGACCAGGGGCATCAGGCTACTGATGTGGGGTGGAAGGAGAGGCAGCTCCTCCCTTCCTGAGACTGAATCCTGGGGTCTGAGAGGGGAGGTGCTCCAGATACAAGTCCAGAGCATGACTGAGAGCAGAGGATGAGGGAAGGGGAGGAAGGACGGGGACTGCCCTCGGCCCTGGGGCTGGGAGATGTGGTCCAGGGAAATGCGTATGGCTGGGGGGAGGGGGGCTGTCCCCACGGAGACCCTCAGCCGCCCCCTCGGGCCCTGAGGCTGGGTCTAAATCGGCCCCGACGGGGCGACTGCGATCAGTGAGACCACTTAAGTCCAGGGGTTTAGTACATTTCTACATGTTTCTAAAGCATAAACGTGGAGACACAGAAAAAGATGACAGATTAGGTAGTGGATTTATGGGTGCTTTCGACGTTTCCCCCTCAACTGTACACAACAAAGTTGAAAGGAAACCCAGCTCCAGTGCGGAAACGCGCCTCTGGCCGCCACCTGGTGGCACTGAACCCACGGCAGCTGTCGCTGTGAACTGCAGCACACCGGGCTTCCCTGTCCTCCACGATTTCCCCCAGCTTGCTCAGACTCATGTCCATTGAGCCAGTGATGCTGCCCACAGCAGAGCCTCCATGACTGGAGGGGTGAGCGGCGCCCCCGTCACCCTGAGAGGAGCTTACCTGTGAGTGTGCTGGGAGCTGACCTGGGGGAGGACGTCTCCTGGGGACGTGGACTCCGGACCGAGGCTGTGCTTCGGGGAGTTTCTAAAGGATGGTCGGCTCACTGGAGCTGGCTGTGGGGAAGCGGGTGCCCAGGTTTGGTGTGCGGCAGGGGCTGGGCCAGGAGGGTGGGCAAGAGCAGCGGGCAGAGGTGGGGCCAGCAGGGGCTGCAGGAGCTCTGACCTCGTCGGCGGGAGCTGCCAGCCCCTCCACCTCCCAGGGGGCCTCCTGCAGCACGTCCAGGGGCGGCTCCCAGCCACTGTGGAACCTGGGCACGTAGGGGGGCGCCTGCGGCTCCCGTGGCCACTCGGAGCTGGGGTGGGAGGGCCTGGGGTGAGCTGTGCCCGCTGACCGAGCCAGCCCCGCTCAGGACCCCCAGCCCGCCCCCCGCAGGATCCCATCCTGGTGTGGCCCGTGCCTGCCTACCGGGGGCGTGTCCAGGTCTCCCCAAGGGATTCCCACAGCGCCATCTCCTTGGGGACCAGGTGGCCACGCAGGAAGCCCACAGCGTCGCGGGACAGCAGGGGCCTGGACACAGAGCGAGCGATGTTTGGGCCACCGCAAGTGCTGACGATCTGGGGGGCACAGAGGGGGTCAGAGGGGGCCGCTGGCCGGTTCCCCCCTCCCCCAACTCCTCCCGCCAACCCCCTTCCCCCATCTCCCAACCTCTCTACCGCCGGCAGCACCACAGGCTGGCCCACTGTGTCCACAGCTCTGAGCGTGGATGCCGGCCCCAGCCAACTGCCCAAGGTGGGCACTTGCTTCTCCCAGTCACCGGCAAGCCCCGAGGTCCCCGCTCCCCCCAGCCCTAGGCACCAGGTCCAGAGGTCCGAAGAGGAAGTGCATCAGCTCAGCCGCGCTGGGATTCTGGATGTGCTTCTGCAGCTTGGCCTGGGGGAGGGGAGCAGACCCGCGGGTGGGGGGAGGGGAGCTGGCACACGGGTGCAGGGGTGCGGTGCAGCGGACAAGCGGGGCCCCATCCCCCATGTCAGCTCAGCGGGACGGGGCGGCCTTGCCCTCACCAGCAGGTTGAAGGCCAGCTTGGTCTTCTGGAAACAGTCCACAAACTCAGCCTCCGAGGGGGGCCGTGCCCGCAGCGTGAGGACACCCTCTGGACGGGGTGAGGAGGGGGCCCGGACGTGAGCCTGGCCCGCCCACTGTCACCGTGCCTGGCGGGTCTGGCCTCAGCGTGAGGCTGCCCACCGGCTCGGCGCACCTTCCCCGCTCAGGGGTCACTCTGCCCCCCGCCCCCGCCCTGCCCCGCACCTGCCGGCCCCTTCTTCCCCTTCTTCTTTCCCTTCTTGCGCTGATTCAGCTGCTTGAAGGCCTCAGCCGCCTTCTGCAGCCGCGCCACGAACCACTCAATGTCGTCCAGAGCGCAGTTGAGGATTTGCTAGGGCCAGAGTGGGGCAGGGGTCAGCCTCAGGCGGCCCGACCCGCTGCAGGGACACCCCCACCTGCTGCCTCTTGGCCCCCGGGCCGCGGGAGGGGCCCGGAGTGCCTGGGGCGCCCTGCGCAAGACCCACCGTCTCCTTCTCGATCCTCTGCGCCAGCGCGGCCCGCGGCTCCTCCTCCAGCGACTCTCGGCGGCGGAGGCCTGCACGGGGCAGAACTGCGGCTGACCGGCCCGCCGCCCCCCGCCCCGCTGCCGCCCCCCGCCCCGCCCCGCGGGGCCCACCTAGTTCTCCCAGCGGCGTCAGCAGGCCCACTCGGTTCTTGGTGGAAGGGGAGTCCCCGCCAAAACGCTGGATGAGGATGGGGGCCGGGCCTGGGGCCGCGGGCAGGATCGACAGCCGCTGCCGGATCTTCTCCTGGTGGCCCCTGAGTCGGACGAGGGGCGGCTCAGCCCGCGGCAGCCCGCGGCCCAGGCCCGCCGCCCCCGCCCCTCCGAGAGGCCTACTTGAGGGTCTGCGGCCGCATCTTCTTCCCCAAGCGGCAGTCCGCCAGCGCGCTCTCGATGTCCTCGTGCACGAGCTCCGCCTGCAGGGTCGGGGGCCGGGGGGTGGGGGGCGCGTCAGGCCGGCTCTGAGGAGGGACGCGTGCCCCCGGGGCCCGCGGCCGCCGCCTCACCTCCACCTCGTCGCAGTGGAAGAAGTGGACGTCGGGCTTGCTCTGGTCGGAGTCCTGGCACACGAGCAGCAGCACCGACGGGTAACGCAGCTGGTTGAGCACCGTCTGGCTGTGCCGCACGCTGGGCAGAGGGAAGTTCTCCAGCTCCTCCTGGGGGACAGGCGGCTGGGACCGGCTCATGGGCGTGGGCTCAGGGAGGGGCGCCATGGACACGGGCTGACTGGCCTGCGGCCTTCACGCCACAGACACAACGCAGAAAGGGGCCCGCACACAGACGCGGCCGGCACCCGGCAAGGTCCACGCCGCTGGCCCGCCTCGTCCAGCCCTGGAGGGCTCTGGCGGGGGGTGGGGGGAACGTGGCCCTGTGGGGCGTGGCTCCCCAGACTCCAGCCCCGCCCGGTCCTCCCTGCCCTCTGCCCTCCGCCTTCAGGTCCCACAGACAGGCCCAGAGCTCTGCCTCGCTGCCTGCGCCCGCCGGGCAGGACCAGCCAGCCCCCCCCCCCACCGCGGTACCTGCGACTCTATATCCAGCAGCCTCAGCGACTGGTCGTTGACCTGCAGCAGCATCTCCTGTGTCCAGATCTTCTCCTTGGAGCTCAGCTGCACCAGCTTCCGGATGGCGTCTTCCACAGACGCGATGGCCTCACTCTTGTCCATGATGAACGTAGCCAGGTGCTGGGTGGGTGGGCAGGGCGTCACCCTGGGTGCAGCCCTCCTGGTGTCGAGGGCCAAGGGCCTGTGCCTTGGGGTCTGAGGGGGCCACGGCCAACCCTGGGGGTCTGAGGAGAACAGCCCTGCCCTGGGGGTCTGAAGAGACAAAGCCCCGCCTTGGGGCTGTCTGTGGGGGCCACAGACAGGCCCCAGTGAACCCCTTAGCAGCCCTGCACACGCTCCCCGCCCAGCCTTGTGCACTCATGGGCTCGGGAATGCAGCCCCCCTGGTCCCCTGCAGCCGGGCAAGGCCTCCACCCCTGTCGTCTCTGCCCGCCTGGCTGCCCCCAACTCACTCTTCCTTCCAGATGCTCCTGGGTGCTTCCCTCCCTGAGTGCCCAGTCACAGCCTCCCTGTCACCACGTCCCTGACTTGCCCTTTTACTTATCGTCATCTGATTTATGTGGGGTACCACGCGCTTCTCTGCCTACTGCCCGCTGTCTCCCCTGTGACCGGGCCGGGCCCACGGCAGGCCCCCCGGTGGATGTGTAGGGAGGCAGTGAGCAGCCCACGGGGGCCCCTGGCCGGCTGGCCCTGCCCGCCCCCTCCTCTCTCTGGAAGCCTAGCTTGGGTATCTTGTCCTGCCAGGAGCCCCCGAGTGTCCGTGCCAAGCTTTGCTGAACTCAGGAAACGGTGCTGGGACAGCTGGGTAAACCCTGACATAAACCCTCAAGCAGGCAAGGCTTGACCACAGAACAGAGATGCGTGAAGGTGACATACTGGGTGACTTCAGATAGCCTCAGAACGCTTCTTCCCTGGGGGACTTTGCTCAGCCAGGAAGAAAACCCAGACACTCGGAAGACCAGGACTTCCCTGGGGGTCTTGTGGCTAAGGCTGCCGCTGCAGGGGCCACGGGTTCGATCCCTGGTTGGAGAGCTAGGATCCCACGTGCCACGCAGCGTGGCCACACACACACACACAAGGAAATAAAAGACAAAACCCATAAATTTGGCCTAAAAAAATATTCTGCTTGCGAAAAAAATACCACATACAAAGTTTTAAAAAAGTGAGAAAACACAAATAATAGTTATAATAGATTTGATACAGGTTAATTTTCTTAAAAAGAAAAAGACTGATATGTATTATAGTGACAGTTCTTACTTTGTTAAGAGCTCTATTTTGTTTAATAATTAAGGATACCAACAGTAAATGAATAAATAATGAAAGAATATGTAAATAAGTATAAAAGATTAACAGCCCAATTGAAAAATTGACAAAAGGTATGAACAGAGACTCTACAGGAAAATAGATATGGAATAACCTTTTAATATAGAAAATTATATGCCGGGGACCTCCCTGGCAGGCCACTGGTTAGGACTCTGAGCTCTGACTGCCGAGGGGTCCGGATTCAGTCCCTGGTCTGGGAGCTTAGATCCCACAAGCCACATGGTGCAGCCAAAAAACAAAAGAAGAAAATTTTATGCAGACTCATTCAATACCAGCGTTGTGGATTGAAGCCGTGAGACTATCCCTTTAAGAATGAGTCTCCCCGATTCTGTTGCCCTTGCTGGCTGGTTAAGACGTGGAGAAGGGGGCGCCTCGCCTGGCAGCTCCGGGAGGAACTGGTGACACTGGACCGGGCCAGGGGCTTCCCTGTTATGTTTCCACCCAGGCAACCTGCACATGTGCGGAACGTGGCACAGGTACAAGGCCGCTCCCTGCACAACTCCGAGGCCAGGCTACAGGTCCACGGGCAGGTTAGAGAGGGACCAGAAACATGCAGTGACTGTCAGGCAGAGGGTCTGTTTGCAAAGCATACCAAGCATACCGCCCGTGCGTTCCAATCCCCTGAAGACACAGCCTGTGTCCTCTGACACAGTGGGGTTAAATCAGCAATCCATACCAGACTCGTAACTGCAAACCCTACTAACCGGAAATTGAGCAACACCTTTCTAAATTACTCTGGGTCCACATCTGTAGAGACTGAACAACACACTTTCAAACAAGTGAGTGAAAGAGGAAGTCACCAGGAAAATAAAATACCTAGTGACAAAGGAAAGTAGACACAAAATATACCCAAACTTATGGGATGTAGCAAAATCAGCGCTAGAGGGAATTTATACCTATAAATGTTTACATTGCTAAACGCTTAAAAAGAAGAAAAATCTAAACAAAGAAGTCACAAGGAAAAGTAGAAAATATTCCAAGTTGCAGCAACATGGATAGGTTTAGACATTATCACAGTAAGTGAAATGAGTCAAACAAATATATGGTGTCACTCACGTAGGACTACCCTGTGTAGCTCAAGTGGTAAAGGATCTGCCTGCGAGGAGACCAGGCTTCACCCTCTGGCTCAGGAAGACCCCCTGGAGGGGAATGGCTACCCATTCCAGTGTTCTTGCCTGGAGAATCCCATGGACTGAGGAGCCTGGTGGGCTACAGTTCATGGGGTCTCAAAGAGTCGGACATGACTGAGTAACTAACACGCATCACTCATATGTGGGATCTAATTTTAAAATACAACAGAAACCAACTTACTCACAAAACAGAAACAGACTCACAGATTTCAGAAACAAGCTATGGTTACCAAAGGGGAAAGTTGGGGGAGGGATAAGTTAGGACCCTGGGATTAACACACTACCATATCTATGTAAAATAGATAACCAAGGACCTACTGTATAGCACAGGGAACTATCTTCAATATTCTATAATAACCTATATGGGTAAAGAATCTGAGAAAGAAGGATTATCTGTGTAACTGAAACACTTTGCTGTACATCCGCAACTAACACAACGTTCTAAATCAGCTATACTCTGATAAAGTAAAATTTAAAAAAAATTCTGAGCTGGATAATCAAAACAAGAACATCAAAACTTGCAGGAGACCGCTAAAGGAGTCCCTTGAGGAACATTATAGCTATAAATGAATGTCAGGGAAGAAGAAAGGCAATATCAATGGTCTGAGCATTCTTCTTAAGAAACTAGAAAATGACCACCAAATGAAACCCTGTGGGACTTCCCTGCTGGTCCAGGGTCTAAGACTCTGCAGGGGGTGGGTGTTCAATCCCTGGTCAGGGAACTAGATTCAATGAAGATGGAAGATCCTGCATGCTGCAACTAAGACCTCTCATAGCCAAGTAAATAAAATAAATATTAAAAAAGGAAACCAGAGTAAGTGGAAAGAAGGAAATTAAGAGCAGAAACCAACAAACTAGTAAAACAAAGAGAGAAAAATCAACAAAGCCCAAGGTTGCTTCTGAAAAGATTGATGAAATTGATAAACCCTTAGCAAGACTGATCAAGAAAAAAATAGAGAAAACACAAATGATCGATAACCAGAAGGAAGGAGGGGACATCACTAGAGATCATACAGGCATAAGACTGAATTCATAATAAAAGAAACCTTCCCAGAAAGAAAACCCCATATTCAGGGCCTCACAGGTGAATCCTAACAAAAACTTGAAGAAGTCACAACCTTCCATTAACTGTTTCTGAAGACGCGAGGAGCAGCAACATCACTCCACTCATAAGGCCAACATAATTCTGATCCCAAAACCTACCAAGGGCGTTGCAGGAAGAGAAAACTATAGGCCAATATGCTAATTAATATTACTGCAAAAAAATCCTTAACAAAACATTAGCAAATCAGTCTTGCCAACACATAAAAAGGATGATAAACCATTAGTAACTGAAATTTATCCTAGAAATGCAAGGCTGGTTCCACATTTTAAAGAAACAGAGTGATTCAGGACTTTCCTGGTGGTCTGGTAGTTAAGAACCTGCTTCCCAAAGCAGGGGACACAGGTTCCATCCCTGTTCCAGGAAGATCCCACATACCGAGGGGCAACTAAGCCCACGTGCCCCCACTACCGAACCCGAGTGCCTCAGCCCGCGCTCTGCCGCAGGAGAAGCCGTCACAATGAGAAAGCCGTGCGCCGCGATGAGAGGAAGCGCATGTGCAGCACAGCCAGACCAGCGCAGCCAAAAACCCAGCATGACTCATCCATTAACCATGTAGTAAGGACATCTCAACCGAGGAAGCACTTGATAAAGCTCAACAGCTTTCAGGATAGAAACCCTCAGCAAACAAAGGAATGGACAGGAACTTTTCATTCTCGTGAAGGGCATCTGCACAAACAGGCAGCTTATATAAAAGGGAATTCTGGACACTTTTTTCCAGATGGGACACAGGCAAGGATGCCCACTATCATTATTATTTGAGCACTATCCTGATGGTTCTAGCAAAAGCAATAAAGTAAGAAAGACGAAGTGGTTAAAATTAAGAAATTAAGTAGTGTATTTTCAGACAAAATGACTCATAAAAAATCCAATGAATCTACAAGTAATTCCTGAAACAGATAAATGAATTCAGTGAAATCTCAGGATACTCAATCACTTTACAAAATTCAACTGTACAAGACAAATGCTACCAGACAACTTGAAAATTAAATTTAAAAAATGAAATAATTTATAACAGTATATAAAAATCAAACACCTAAGGAATATTTTAACAAAGAGCCTTGAGACTTCTGCAGTAAAAAATCACAAAAGAGGCCTGAGGGAAATTAGAGACGAATAAATAAGTGAAGAGGTGCCATGTTTATGGATGGGAAAGCCTCAATGTTAAGTCTCCCTAAACTGATCCTTAGACTTGACTCAGTGCAAATCAAGATTCTAGCAGGCTTCTGGTGGGAGGGGTAAAAATGGACAATTTGATTCTAAAATGTAAATGCAAGCCCAAGGAACTTAGAATAGTCAAGAAAACCTTAAAGAAAAAGAAAAAAAAATGCCTGGTTTCAAGATGGTTAATAAGCTAGGAAGAGGTAAAATTGTATGAAACACAGAGAATCCAGGAACAGACCCATCCAGACCCAAATAGTCAATCTTTGACAAAGGCACCAAAATGATTATGAGGGAGAAAAAATAGCTTCCCGTAACTGCAACTCTTACAGGGAAGGTTAACCTTGAGTTTCAAACCAAAAAATGAATTTTAAATGGATTATAGCTCTAAAAGGTGGAAGTGGTGACAGAATCCCTCTTTGTGGGCTCTAAAATCACTGCAGATGGTGACTGCAGTTATGAAATTAGCAGATGATTACTCCTTGGCAAGAAAGCTATGACAAACCTAGACAGTGTGTTAAAAAGCAAAGACATCACTTTGCCGATGTCTGCATGGTCAAGGCTATGGTCTTTGTAGTAGTCATGTACAGATGTGAGAGCAGGACCATAAAGAAGGCTGAGCACCTAAGAATTGATGCTTTCAAACTGTGGTACTGGAGAAGACTCTTGAGAGTCCCTTGGACAGCAAGGAGATCAAACCAATCAATCTTAAAGGAAATCAACCCTGAATACTCATTGGAAGGACTGACACGGAAGCTGACGCTCCAATACTTTGGCCACTTGATATGAAGAGCCGACTCATTGGAAAAGACCCTGATGCTGGGAAAGATTGTGGGCAGGAGGAGAAGGGGACGACAGAGGATGAAATGGTTGGATGGCATCACCAATGCAATGGATATGAACTTGGGTAAACTCCGGGAGATGGAGAGGGACAGGGAAGCCTGGCGTGCTGCAGTCCCTGGGGTCTGGAAGAGTCAGACAGGACTTGGAGACTGAACAACAACAACAGAGCCCTAAATGTAACAGCCTAAACTACAAAGTGGGACTTCCCACGTGGTGCTAGTGGTAAAGAATCTGCCTGCTGAAGCAGGAGAGGCAAGAGACTTGGGTTTGAGGTCACAAAGAGTTGGACACAACTGAAGCGACTTAGAACACACACAAACTACAAAGTATCTAGAAGAAAATGCAAGACGTTTTCAGAGCCTTGGGTCAAGCAATGACCAAGTGAATAAGACTTCTCAAGCTCCCCCAAACAACCTAACCATTAAAGAAAAAAATGGATGTGACTGGAAGTCATTAAATGTAAACATTAAAAAAAAAAAATGTAAACATTTCTGCCCGCTTCAACATAGTTAATGCACGTGCATTGGCAAGCCAGACTGGGAGGTATAATCCATATAACTTTAGCTGAATTCAAAGGACCCCCCACTGTTCAATAAGCAGTCTATACATTTCATGTGGGCACAGGCAGCACCCCACGAAGGGTCCAGGGGCCAGGCGGGGCTTGTGACCTGGAGAACTCTCTTCTGTACACACAGCATCTTTGAAATAAGTTTACCAAGCAGAAGAGCAAAGATAGTTGTAAACTCTATGAATTCAGTTTTAGAGGATTCTCAAAAACGCTCAACTGCAGGAATGGAGGGCAGAGCAGTGCTGTTGAAAATTTGGGCGGGGACGGCTGCAAGCAAAAAGGACAGAGCCGCCCGGTGTCCTGAGCGTGCTGGCAGAGAACCTCATACTCCAGCCCCTGAGGTCAACTTCGCAGTGTGTTAGTTTGGAATAAAGAAACAAATCCACAAGCCTTGGGTGCCCCCTCCCATTGCCACTGTCGGCCTGATCTTGTCGCCACCTCTCTCTTTAGGCTTCAGTTTCCTCATCTGAGTGGTGGTTTAGTCATTAAGTTGTGTCTGACTCTGCAATCCCATGGACTATAGCCCACTAGGCTCCTCTGTCTGTGGGGTTTTTCCAGGCAAGAATACTGGAGCGGGTTGCCATTTCCTTCTCCAGGGGATCTTCCCGACCCAGGGATGGAACCCACAGACCCGCATCTCCTACAGGCAGATTTTTCACCACTGAGCCACCAGGGAATGCAGGCGGGGCCACAAACCGCCCACTTCCTCAGCCCTGCTGGCTGCTGGGTGGGCAAGAGAGGTGCCCTGAGCTGGGGTCCTTCACAGGCTAGTTTGGACTGAAGTCTAGGAGAAGGGCTGGGAGGCCCCAGTGACCAGGTGGCTCCTCACCAGGAGGGCAAAGTCCCTCTGCAGAGGGCTGCCCTGGGTGCCGAGCCAGTAGCAGGCCACAGATGGCCTCCTGTGCAGGCTGGCAGGAGGAGCCGAGCACAGCACGGCCCTGGGCAAGAGCCCCAGGACGCCCTTGGCTCAGTGGACCCGCTCTACAGACAAGAAGGCTGAGGCTCAGAAAGCAGTGACTCACATGGCTTCTGGGGCATGGAGGGTTCCATGGGGAGGAAAGTATTTACCTTACTGGTCCAGGGTTCCCCCACCTTCCTGGTCCAGGTCCCCCCACCTTTCTGCTCCAGGTGCCCCCACCTTCCTGCTCCAGGTCCCCCACCTTCCTGCTCCGGGTTCCCCCACCTTCCTGGTCCAGGTCCCCCCACCTTCCTGCTCCAGGTGCCCTCACCTTCCTGGTCTGGGTCCCCCACCTTCCTGTTCCGGGTCCCCCCACTTCCTGTTCCAGGTCCCCCCACCTTCCTGCTCCGGGTGCCCCCACCTTCCTGCTCCAGGGTCCCCCACCTTCCTGCTCCGGGTCCCCCCACCTTCCTGCTCCAGGACCCCCCACCTTCCTGGTCCAGGTCTCCCCACCTTCCTGCTCCAGGACCCCCCACCTTCCTGCTCCAGGACCCCCCACCTTCCTGCTCCAGGTCCCCCACCTTTCTGCTCCAGGTGCCCCCACCTTCCTGCTCCAGGTCCCCCACCTTCCTGCTCCGGGCGCCCCCCGCCTCCTCATCCATTCCCACCCTCTTGTCCCGCAGGTTTGGACAGTGACCAGGAACCAGGAACTTGCCAGCTGCCAGGAACAGGAAGGTCATTTAAAAAACATGTTTCCTGGGTTCTAAGTGTGAATCAAAACTGACCCGGGAGCAAAGGCCTCCTGAGCTGTCAGCTGGTCTAGAGTGCGGGTGCCCATCTTTCAGGCTCCGTGGGAGTGGCTGTCAAGGCCCCCAGGAGGAGCTCAGAAGTTGTGTCTGACCCGCCCTCCCGCTCCAGCCTCCGCTGTGGGGCTAGGAGGACAGTTCCCCGGCCGCCCCCCCCCCCCCACCCAGCACTGGGCCATCCCGCCTGAGCCCATCCTTGCCCCCTGCTGCCCCGGGCGTCCCCTGCCGCTCACACTGGGAGCTCCCCGACCTCGGGACCGCGCCTCTCGGGCCTCGAGCCCCTCCTGGGCACAGAGGGCAGGAGCGCCCTGCAGGGTGGGGGGCTCACCTGGACGTGGTACTGCGAGGTCTCGTGCACGATGATGCTGGAGTTGGAGTATTTCTTCCTCTGCTCTGAGCAGGACACACTGTCACTCGGCCCCGCAGGCGGCCCGGGCCGGCGGAGGGGAGGCCAGGGCGGGGCTGCCTGTGGGCCCCTCACGACCACCAGGAGGGGCACGGACTCGCGGAGTCGGGGGTGGCCTCTCCTGGCAGGACCCAGGGCTCCCTCCGTCCTCAGGAGGGACCCCCAGCTCAGCGAGGTGAAGGCACAGCTGTGCCCGGGTCTGCCCTGGAGTGGGTGTAGGAGGCTCAGCCTCCCCAGGCCCACCTGCCTGGGAGGGATCTGGTCCAGGCCTTGCCCCAACTCCAAGAGCTGCCAGCGACCATCTCCCTGCCCCTCCCGGGGCTCCTGGCTTTCCAGGACCTGCGTGACTGGGGGAGGGTCAGAGCTGGGGGCGGGGGGGGGGTGCTGGCCAGGCCCCACCCTCCGGGAGCAGACACCTGGCACTCAGCCCAGCAGGAGCCCCAGCCTCCTGGAGAATCGGATCCGGTGGCAGAGAGGAGCACAGAGAATCAATATTGATGCTCCCTGAATTATTCGTAAGGCCTCTCCCCTTACTGGCTGCTGGGGGAGAGCTGCTCTGTGGCCAGAGTTTGGGGGCAGGGCCTGAGCACCTGTTGGTTGGGCCCAGGGGCCTCCTTGGGGGCCCAGGCTGACCTGCCTTCCCTGGTGGGGGCCTGGCACAGCCCTGGGGAGGGTGGTAGGGAGAGACCCTCCCTGCTGAGCTGTCCCCAGCCTCCTGTTCTCAAACCTCACTCACCAAACAGGTCCTTGGCACTCATCTTGGGCACACCGTCAGACCGGCCCAGGCTGCCACTGCAGAGGAGGGGCTGGTGAGGGCGGGGCCATGCCACACCCCTCCCTGGGGACAGCTGGACAGGTAGGGGTGTTGAGGGGTGGGCGGGTGGGGCGGGGGCTCACTTGGCAGCACCCGGGCAACAGCTCACGGACCCTGATTGGCTCATGGCGTCCTCGATGGTGGCTGGAGGGAAGAGGGCAGACCTCAGTGTGGCCGGAGCCCAGGGCTTGGTGCCCGGCCCACACCTGAGTGGACAGGGGAGTCAAGTGGACCCCTCGGCCAGACCTGGACCCGGCCGGGGCCCTGCCGCTCCCTTGTGGGGTCTAGGTCTCCTTCTCCCCACCCCTCAGGCCAGGGCCTGGCCGGATTCCCCAGGGTGCCTGGGCAGGTGGTCCTCAGGGAGCAGAGCCCAGCCTTCTGGACACACCAGGCCCAGTCCTGCTTCATGTCCCAGCTGGTGTTCACTGCACCCCCATCGCTCCTCAGACCATCGGTCCTCCACAGGGACCCCCAGGGTGTGCCAGCAGGGGGGCCCCACCCCCAGAGGCTGTCTGGGGTAGAGTTTTGAGGAAGATGCCCCGGGCTCTGCAGGGGCCTCAGGAGAAGCAGGCGCTTTCCAAGCAGAGGGAAGAGCAAGTTTAAAGGCCCTTAGGCAGGTGAGAGCCAGACAAGGGAGGAAGGAGCAGAGGCTGAGGTGGGAGCCCGGGGAGGGAGGCAGGGGCCTGGGGACACAGAGCCCAGGCTGAAGCCGGAGGGAGCCACCCGCTGGGTGCCAAGCAGAGCCTGTGGGTTCTGTGCTCCGAGGGGACCCTGGGGCCCACACTTGCTCCCAGCAGATGTCATCGGTGACGCCATCCCTCTGTGGCTTCAGCATTAGGGGCCTGCAGGCTCGGGTCACAAGCCGGGGGTGCTGGCACCCAGGGCAGGGACTGCCTAGGACTTTCTGGCTTGACCAGGTTCTACCTACAGAGAAGCTCCCAGGAGGGCTGAGGGACTGGGGGCTTCAAGTCACCCCCCTACACGTCCCCAGGGTCTGGACTGGGCCAGACTTCTCTGTCCATCTCTCCGCGGAGAATGTCCGGAATGCTTCTGACCTCAGTAGGTGAACCGGAGTGTTTGTTTAGTGGGACTCCTGGCGGGCTGAGCTGAGGGTGCTGGGCACGTGTGTCCAATACATACACACACACACACACCCCTGGGTGAAACCCAGGCCTGTGGGCGACACCTGGGTTGTTCTCTGGCTTCCTGGGGAGGGGTGAGGGGCTCAGGGCTGGCCAGGAAGGTGACTCCAGGCGCTGGCATCTGGGTTGGGGAGCAGCTGGGTGGGGGGCCCCCTGCAGGGAGGGATTGGGGAGCACGGGCCTCGGCTGGCTGGGGTGGGGCGGGCACTGGCCCTGAGGGCCGCGGGCTGCACTTCGGTTTCACTGTGGCCATTTTCCGGGTGCACGGGGAGGACCGCATATTGTGCCGGGTCAGGCCTGGCCGGGAGGAGGCCCCAGCAGGGTAGGGAGGGCGGAGGGACCAGCTCCAAGTTCAAATTCCAGCTCCCAGAAGAGTGACCTTGGGGAGGAGTCAGCTTGAGACCAGGGAGCCAGGTGGGGCCCTGGGTCGGGGGAGCCCCTTCGGCTGGCCTGTGCCAAGGCCTGGATACCGCGGGCACTGCTGGGCGGGGCAGGAGCCACTGCTGCCCTGGGCAGGGCCGGGGGAGGCCTGAAGGGGCAGGGCTGGGGCGGGTTAGGGGGTCCTGGGGTGGGGCTGCCCAAGCAAAGGCGGAGGAGTTGCAGCCAGGCCCTGCCTCCCAGGACAGCTGGGGCTGGCTATATGGGGGCAGGGACACAGGTGGTCAGTGGGCACTTCAGAAGCCCGGGAGCCCTGCCCACCGACCTCCCCTGCCACGGCAGACACCTGAGACACAGGGGCTGCCCAGGTCAGGCCAGCCCAACCTGGACTGGAGGCCCCCGGCCCCTGACAGCAGGGCCCCCAGCTTCGTCCCGCCCTCCACCTCCCACTCCCCAGACTTGACCAAAGGCCTGACCCTGGACTGGGGCTCACTCCCCGGCTCCCACACCCAGGAAGCCTGCTGGCACCTCGTGTCGGCCCCAAAGGAGCCCCCAGCCTGCCCGGCATCGGGGTAGGGAGGCGGGGTCCGAGGCCTTTGAGGGGCAGGAGAACCCCTTCTTTTCTGGAGGAGGGTCTTCCTCCTACTGAGCCCAAGGGTTGGGAGGGGCTGTCTGACTCAGAAGCCACTGGCTTACAAACATCCCCAGCTCACGGCGCCGCCCCAGAACCAGACGGGGCAGGCCAGGCCGCAGGCCCCGGCTCCTGGCCGCCAGCCCAGGGAAGGCCCCTCTCGCGGATGCCCCGGGCGTCCCAGCCCGGCCTGTAGACCCAGGCGGAGCCCCGCGTCGTGCTGCCACCTGGGGAAACCGAGGCCCGGGGACCCGCCGTCCGTGCGCTCGGCCCCCGTCGCTCTAGCGCCGAGCGGGTGCGGGCGCCGAGCGGGGTTGGGGCGCTCACCTGCTCTTCTCGCAGCCCCGCTCCTGGCCGTCCTTGCGCTGGTCCCTTCGTCCGCGCGTCCGCCTGCCCGTCTGTCGGTGCCTGGCTCTGAAGGAGGGAGGGACGCGCGTAGGGGCTGGGGCGGGGCGCGGGGAGGAACCTGAGCGGCAGGTTAGAGTCACCTCGCGCGGGCTGGCCCTGGGCAGGGGCGGGGGCACGCGGGTGCCCCGCCCCCTGAGGCTCCCGGACAGAGCCTCCAGCGCACACGCCGTCTCCCTGCGCGAACTCCACTGGGAGAGAGGGGGCCGCCGTTGGGCGCGCGGGCGGGGCCGCGAGCCCGTCCCCCGCGGGGGTGCGCAGGACGGCGCACCTTGACGCTCAGAGGTCCTGCCGGCAGGCCGAGCTGCCTGCGGAGCCCCGGGGAGGGCAGACCTGACCCTGCTAGGTGCCCCCAGCCTCAAGGCCCTAGGACTCGGGGACCGGAGCCCATCCTCTTCGCCTGATGCCCCTCTGGTCTGGAGAGGGCGCCAGGGCCGTGCTTCGGTCTGTGAGTCTCGAAGGTAGGACCATTGGTCAGAGACCCTGCAGTCCTGTGCCCTGAGCCGGCCAGGTGGGAGGCAGGGAGGTGTCTGTCTTTCTTCACGCGGGCCAGCCCAGGTGGGCACTCCGTGAGGGGTGGGGTTGTTCCTTGGCGGGGATTGGGATGCCTGTGGCCCAGGCTGTCCTTGAGTGGCCAGGCAGTCGGTGTGAAGGGGCTCCAGACAACAACCCCCTGCCTTAGGCCAAGCCCCAAGCTCTGCCCATAGTTCTGTCTTTCCTCCTCCTGAGCTGACCCTGCAGGATGGTGCTGCCCACCAAGCTGGGTGAAGAGGAAGTGGAGAGGAGGGCAGGCGCCCCCAGGGCTCCCCCATTGCTCCTGGGTGTGGGGAGCAGGAAAGTGTGTGTGGGGTGCCGGAGTCCCCAGGTGGAGGAGAGCTGGGCAGCTTGCCTGGAACCCCTGGGGAAGGAGGCACCCTGTCCTGGAATGTCTGCGACACTGCCCCTTCCCACACTGCGGGGACCTCCCTGCCCGCGACCTGGGGTGCCCGGTGAGCTGCACAGGGGTGCAGGGAGTGGCTTCTCCCTGGGGCCCAGCCCTGCCCCTGAGCCCTGGCGAGGCCTAGCTTCCTGATTCTCCCCCTCTGCTGACAACCTGGAGGGGAAGGCAAGCCTGCCCTCGCCCGCTCTTGCTGGAGGCTGAGCCTGAACAGGCAAAGTGGGAGAAGGGAGCCGCTGAGGTGGGCACCCTCTGCTCCTCAGAGCGGGAGAACTGACCCCCTCAAGGATGCAGCTGGGGGCCTGGAGGCCCAGACTGCCTGTGGCCACCTCGAAGATGGCGTGCCCTGTGGCCAAAGTGATGGGGGTGTCTAGGGCCTGGCCCAGATCCTCGGGAGGGTCTCGAACCCGGAAGGCATCAGGCATCTTGCCACAGGGAGAGGCTGTAGCATCCATGGAGGCCCCCGGAGCCCACGAGGGGTGCAGGGGGTGGGGCTCCCGCACCCACTCACCCCTGAGGACAAGACCAGTGGGGTGATAATTCGGCCCTCCTCGTTGAGGCCAGCCCCGAGGAGGCCCAGGCCGGCAGAGTGCTGCTCCACAGCCACTGGGCCTGGGCCCTGATGGACCTAGGCGGAGGGAGAAGCCTGGAGGCAGGTGGCTTCAGTCAGGGGCAGTTCAGAGAGGTACAAACGTTCCTTTATTTTAAAGATACAATGAAGAGAAAATATCTAGATATTCAAGCACAGTGTTATTCTAAACAGAGAAAATGTGCAACTGAAACAAATGCAGGAAGGTCACTAGAAAACACCAGCTCAGGTTTCCCCGGGAGCACTCACAGAGGATCTGTGAATGACACAAATCCCCAGAGAACGCTGCCGCCAGCTCCCCATGTCTGCGGTATCCGGATCACCTTTCCTCAGAAGCCCCAGGCAAAGGGGGATTAGGCAGCCAGCGAGTACCTCCTGTGGGGGGCAGAGCCCAGGACCCCCGAGCTGCCCTGCAGCTGCAGGGGGAGCACAGAGCTCCAGCCCCTGCCTGGGGTGGGGCGCCTTGGACCCCAGGAGGCTCTGACCTGGCCGCCTGCTTTCTGAAGGGTCTCAATCACCCCGCACCCCAGGGGTCACCAGCCAGAACCGGAACCCTCTCAGTTTCCACCCTCACCCTGCCCCCCGAGCCTGCCCAGGGCTGCCTGGCCCTGCTGCAGCACTCTGTTCTGCCCTGGTGCTCAGCCCCACCTCTGCCTCACAGACAGCCTGCCGCAAACATAGTCTCTCTAACACTGTGGCTGGTGAGTACGAAGATGCCCTTCCTGCTCAAAGTGACAGCCGGGGCACCGTCTGCCCTGAGGAGGGGCTCCTGTCCAGGGCTGTCCCACAGGCCTGGCACTGTTCGCCTAGCTGAGGAAGGCAGCGATGGCCACCACCTCCAGGATGGCCTCCAGGCTGTGGAGTGCCAGGAGCGGAGCGCCGAGGGCTGCGTCTGCTCGCAGCACCAGGGTCTGCCAGAGCAGGAAGTAGGCAGACAGCAGGGCGCCGCCCACGGTGAGGACCAGGCTGGCGGCCAGCGGCACCTCGGCCTCCATCAGGTTGCCCGTGGCACCTGGAAAGCAGAACAGATGTGATGGGCGGGCAGGGCCTTCCAGACACGGGCACCCGGGAGGGCCCCAGTGGAATGGCTGTGAGAACAGCGCCAGCTTCTGACTGCCATGCCATGTCTGAGGGCGTCAGGGAGCAATCCTGAGTGACCATCAGAGGGGACGGGGGTGCCCCTCCTCACTGAGGCCCTGCTCTGGGTCTCCAGGTCAGCAGTGTGGAGGGCAGAGGGAGTCTGGATCTCTGAAAGTGATCCCAACTGTTTTCTGACAGCTTTCCCTAATTCCACGTGAAATGAGAGGATTTTCTTTTAAATTTCCGAAAACGTTTTACTCTGCGCTGCCATTCTGTAAGGTGTCACACACACTTACAAGAAGACAAAGCAGTGGCACATCTCATAAACCAGAGGGCAGGCACAGAAGATGCCCTGGGGCCCCAGGGGTGAGGGGCGCCTGGGGCAGGGCAGGGGCAGAGGCCGTTTGTCACCCACCCCCTCCTGTGTCACATGCTCGGGGGCCCCGGCTGTGCCTGCTGTTCTGCCATTCCAACAGCAGGAGGGGAACACACAGCATGACCTCATTTAAGAGACGTGCTTGAGTCTGTGTGCCTGCGACTGGGAGTGGGGAGGCCTGGGCCCTGGCGGTGAGCTGTGGAGCGGGGAGGGGGCAAAGTTCTATCAGGGCTTCTGCACTGTGGGAGCCTCAGGACAAGAACTGTGATATACAGTGACACGTTTAAAGGTTCCATGTAAAGCTAGCAATGCTGTTATCTCAAGTACCACATGGTTTTCAGTCAACTCACCGAAGTATAAACGAATTGCTTCCAGAATCCCCATCAGAAAGAGCAGAGTCAGGTCGAGGACCAGGTAACTGTGAGGATAAGTGAAAACCTGACCTGGAGACAAACCAACAACAGAGCAGAGCTCTCGTCACAGGTGCGAGGGCGCCCACACCTTCGCGCTGCCTTTTCCTGCATGACTTACTTTTATACACGAGCAGCAGGAGCGTAGCTAGGAAATACAGGGCATAGTACGTTCCACTCAGGCAGAGCAGCATCTGCAGCGGGAGGGACGAGAGCTGGCCAGCAGTTAAGGACTCTCAGGCCCGGCAGACAGCCCTGGCGGGGCACCCGCCCCAGGGAGGCCAACAGAGGAGGCCCTGAGGCGGGCAGGTCCAGCCCAGGCCCCTGCGGGTGGCTATGGAGACCTGACCAGCAGCCCCTGCCAGGCTTCCAGTACCAGGCCTCCTGTGTCACCTCGCCTGGCAGGGCCCCTGGGGGATTGGGGGCGGGGCTGGGCTTCCCTCCCGGGACATCCTCGCCCGAGGACCAAGCACACCTCTGGTGACAGCAGGCTGGAAGCGGTAGGTCGGCTTCCAGGTGCATCACCCTGATCTGGGTCCCAGTTACAAGACTGAAAGCAGAAAGTGACTTTTCCTCATTTTGTTCAAAGAAAATGTTTTTCTTTTAAGGGAAGGGGGTGGGGGTCGGGGAAACAGTTAAATATTTTGCCCAGAGCTTTACTCAGCTCTGAACACTTGTCATTTCTCTAAGTGTTCCAGGCGAGGGTTTTCATTTTCCTGTGCCTCCTGGGTGGGAGTCAGGCAGCTGCCCCCCAGCGCGGGGCTGAGCAGGAGGCACGTGGAGGAGGTCTGTCAACTCTCTCCACCTGGCAGGGGAAGCCCCTCCCACTCAGAACTGACAGGCAGGTGGGGGTGGGGCTTAAAGTAGCAAAAAGCAGGAGCCAGGAGCCAACTGCAGGTGCCGTGGGTGGAGGCCTGAGTCCTGGGCTGACAGAGGGCCAGGGGACTGAGCAGCAGGATACCACCGTGGAGGAAGCTCTCCCTGGAAGAGAAGGAACCAGTCAGGGAGGCCCCAAGTCTTGGCCTGTTCTGTTGTCGAGGATCACTGGCCCACAGCGAGGATCCTTTCCAACACCTCTGCACCTGTCATCCCTCCAAGGAGGATCTGACCACCTGCTGTGCTGAACCTGAGGCTGGGAGACAGGGCGTCCTGACAAGGTGAAGCCCGGACCCAAGCCCGAGGCTAAAGGCCAGGATGGTGGGATCTGCTCCATTGCCAGGGAGGAGCCAGACGTGCAGCTTTCTTGTCTCCTGTGGCTTCTGCACACGGGCCACGTGAGTGCAGATGAAGACCTTTTCTGATTCAGGTTACAAGTCTTTGTCGTTGATAAGAAACATTTGCTTTCCTCTAGAATTTTATTCATAAAATTAAATCTCTTCCTAAATGAGAATTTCCTAAGCCAGCAATCCAGGTTCTTTCCACCCCTCTCCCACTGCACAGCAGTTACGCATTCTCCCTGCATCGTGAGACGACAGTGGAACTCAGAATTTGCCAGCAGCAGGTGGGACGGTGCTTTCTCCCACGCCACGTCCTCCTTAGTCCCAAGCAGGCAAGAGAGAAACCTTTGGTCTGAGTGAGCTCTGGGGGGAATGTCAAAGGGTTAGACCTTGCTTCCCGGGCATATCCGAGGTCCTCCAGGGAGTCTCACTTGGGGAAGAGGTCTTAAGTGGTCGGAACAGGACATGAGTGACGGAGAGGCAGCAGGTGCCGAGTGCAGGGAGCCAAGGTGGGTGCCAGCACCATCATTAATAAAACCCACATGGCCATATGGAAAGAGTCGGCTGTATGCCGGATGAGTTCTTTTCCAAGCCCGGGTAAGCTAAGCTACCTCACTACCTGTGGCCATTTGGGTGGACTTCCCGCTCATCAGGAGTTTCCTCTCTCCTGACCCTTCTCTTGACAGCGTGCTGCAGAACTTCAGATCTGCCGGCTGCCATTGTTACAGACTGAGACGGTGGGCCTCAGGGAAAATATGCTGTAGAAAAAAACTTCAGCGATATAGGATTTAAACAGTTAACGTCAGGGAAGCTACAATCAGATACGGTGTTCCAACGATTTCGGGCCTACAGAAAAAGGCTCATTCTTACTAAAGAGAGCCGGGGTTTTTAGGACTTCGCATTTTTTGTCAATGACCTACTAAAATAACAATGCGGCTGTGAACAGGTGTCCATGTTAGTCACTCAGTCGTGTCCGACTCTCTGTGACCCCATGGACTGTTGCCCGCCAGGCTCCTCTGTCCACAGGACTCTCCAGACAAGAGTACTGGAGTGGGTTGTCATTCCCTTCTTCAGGATATCTTCCCGACCCAGGGATCGAACCTGGGGCGATTGCAGGCGGAGTCTTTACAGTCTGAGCCACTAGTGTGTCAGAAGTTAGATGCAGAAGCAAAGAGAACAAACGTCTTCCCTGTGGTGACACAGGAAGGGTGTGAAGGGACCGTGCCCGGGTGTGAACCCGATTTTCACGGCGTGAGAACGCGCAAACCTCAGACCGTCGGCCCGGCACCTGTCCGCGCTTTCACACTCCGCGGCTGGGAAGCCCGGCGGGCGCTCAGAACGCGGACAGCGCCGCCGTCAGGCTCGGCGCTCCAGACCCCCGGGGCCGGACGGCGGTGCGGAAACGGCTCTTCCCTTGGGCCGAGCTGGGGAGCCGGGACCGCACGGCCGCGGGCCCGGGAAGTGCTCTGCGGGCGGCGGTCTCACCTTGTGAACACACTAAGTCCACTGGTTAATAACATGGGCGAGGTGTCCCCGCACCAGGAAGAACCGAACCAAGCGGACCGCTCTCCCGGGGCGCCCTCCGGGACCTCCCGTCCCCCGCCTCTCAGTCGCCGCCGGCCGCTCACCTCGCCGCGGGGACGCCATCTTGTCCCCGGGCCCCGCCCCGCTCCTGCCCGCCCCGCCCGCCGAGTCCGCCGCGATCCCGGCAGCCTCTCGGCGCGGGACTCGAACGGAATCCCTTCGGCCATTTTCGCTTCTGCTCCCGAAGGGGCTCGACGGCGCCGCGTTTCGAGACTTGATTCCGAACCGTGGCCGAGGCCCGATTAGCCTGTCCGACAGCGCTCGGGCACTTTCGGCCAGGAGGAGGGGGAGAGCCGAGACGCGAGAGGATCTCGGCTCGGGAGCGTTCGGCTCCTCTCGGCGCCTCCTCGGGCGGGCTCGGCTCCCGAGGCGGGCGGAGCCGGTGGCGCAAGAGTCTCTAGGCGGGGCAGCGCCGCGTCGGAGGCCGGCGGAGTCGGCCTCACAGTAGGTGCCCTTGCCGGCTGGGGACACGCCGGCTCGGCCTCCTGAGCGAAGAGGAGGTCTGGCGCGGAGCCGCTCGGAAACCCTCGGGCGGCCTCGGACCAATTCGGCCTGACTCGGCTCCACACTTCGGCCCACTTCGGCCCACGTCGGCCCTCGTCGTTTCTGGACTGCGGGCCTCGGCTCGGCTCGACCGGGCCGCTTCGTGCCGGTTCGGCTCCTGTTCGGGCGGCGCCGGCTCGGCTCGGCAGTTGGCCTCGGGCGGCCTCGGCTCGGCTCGGTTCAGCTCGGCTCGGTTCGGGCGACCCTCCTCTGGAGGGCTCGGCTCGGCTCGGCCCGACTCGGGCGGCCTCCTCGGGCGGCGCGCTTCGGGCTCCGTCCCGGCCTTCGGGCGGCCCCGGCCGGAGCCTTCGGGCGGGCTCGGCGGAGTCCGGATGGAGGACTCGGACTCGGCCGCCAAGCAGCTGGGCCTGGCCGAGGCGGCGGCGGTGGCGGCCGCGGCCGCTGTGGCGGCGGCGGCCGCGGCCGCGGCGGGAGGCGAGGCGGAGGAGCCGGTGCTCAGCAGGGACGAGGACTCGGAGGAGGACGGAGACTCGGAGTCGGAGCGCGAGACGCGGCGGGTGACGGCCGTGGCGGTGATGGCCGCCGAGCCCGGGCACATGGACATGGGCGCCGAGGCCCTACCCGGCCCCGACGAGGCCGCCGCGGCCGCCGCCTTCGCAGGCAAGTGCCGGCCGCCCGCGGTTCGCGCCCACCTGCCCGCACCTGCCGCGCGCCCGCCCCGCGCTCTCGTCCCCCGCTCACACCTGCCCTGCCTCCGCCCAGCGCACCCGCGCACGCACGTCGTGTGCCCCGTGGTCCCTGCACACCTACCCCGGGGAGCGCCCCGACCCTGTCCTGCCGCACACTTGCTCCCTGAACGCCTTTCCCTCCTTTCAGGATTGCGTTCCTTCTGGAACCTTCTCAGCACCTGCTTCTTGCTCTGCCCGTTCTCCCCTCCTTATGTCCTGGTTGCTGGTTACACGGGGGTCAGACCTAGGTCCTGTCCTGGAGGCGCGCGGGGATGGGCGTGTCTGGTCACCTAGAATTCTGCTGGCCGGGTCCAGATGGGACTCAAGCCTTGGGGAGTGAGGCGCGCTCAGCCAGGGAGGGCCCGCAAGCGTTGGGGTCAGTGGCTCTGGAGGCCATGACCCTGTTCCTCAGTCCCCCCTCTGGCGTGTCCCCATGCCCCCCCCTCCCCCGCCCGCCCCCTGTTTCCTTGATGGGTCTTCCCTTCCACGTTTTCGTTGCTGAGGAACAGAACATGCTCATTCTCAAGGTTCCTGAGCCACGCCCCAAAGCGCCCTTTAGAGGTTGTGCCTCCCTGGGACACCATCCCGATGGAGATAGAGACTTTCCCAAGTGATGGTCCCTCCCACATGAGGCTCACGGTTGGCCCACAGAGCCAGGCGCTGGAGCCCTTGGGGAGTGTCCCGAGGCTCTTCTTCCAGAAGGAACTTCGTGGGTTTCAGAACTGGACAGCGGCCTCCGCATCCAGGTGCTCCTGCGTTTATCTGGGCTGGAGGTGCTGGTGGGGCCAGCTCCCCTGCTGCCCGCCTTGCCTCTGGTCTGCCTGTGCTGTGGTCTTTTGGGATGCTCGCAGAAGCATGGGAAGAAGGATTTGTGGCCCTTAAATAAGGGTTCCATTTTTGTTGCTAAACTGGTTTAACATTGAGATCTTGAATAGTTAGGTTTTTCTTCAGGTTTATGTTACTTTTGTGCACATTTTTCTGAAGAAAGAAAAGAAATATGATGCTGTTTGTCCTATCATCAGAGAAATGTATTGACATCAGATTTTTAAAAAAATTTTTTATTTTTTACTTTGCTGCGTCTTTATTGCTGCTCGGGCTTTGCTGCTGCTTCACTGCCTCTGATTGTGAGTGGAGGCTGCTGTCTAGCTGTGGTGCACAGGTTTCTCACTGCAGCGGCTTCTCTTGTTGCAGAGCTCGGCTCTAGGGTGTGAGGGCTTCAGTAGTTGCCCCTCCTGGGCTCTATAGCACAGGCCCGGTAATTGTGGTGCTTGGGCTTTCTTGTCCTGCCGCACGTGGTATCTTCCCAGACCAGGGATCGAACCCATGTCTCCTGCATTGGCAGGAGGATTCTTTACCATTGAGCCACCTGGGAAGCCCCAATGTCAGGCGTTTTTTTTTCTTGCAAAGTGTTATAGTTGTGTTTTTTGAGTGTGTTAAAACTTGTTTGTTGTGAGTTGCTGAGGTTAGGTGACTCCTGGGTTTCGGTAGCTCAACAGGACACTGTGCTGGGCTGAGGCTGCCTCCTCTGGGCTGCAGGCCAGGTGTGTAGACCTGAGCAGGGGCTCAGGCCCCTCAGCCCCAGGCTCCCTGGGAAACGGTGGAGAAGACACATGGGGGACAGGGATTTTCAGAGCAGTTCGGTAAGTGCAGGTGGACAGGTTGTGCGGGACCCTCTGTCAATCTGAGCACCTCTGCCAGGAACAGCCCCACCTAGGCTTGGGGCATTCTGGAACGCGGTGCCGCCCCCACAGTGGGGCGAGAATTCAGGGGGGGCTGTCAGGGCAGCCAGCCACGTATGAGCGGTGGTGGGGTGCAAGGAGGTGGGGTGCGCAGGCTGCTGGGAGGGGCCAGGCTCCATGTTGAGGGTGGGGGGCACCAGCAGGTCTGATGGGTTTCAGGAAGAAGAGATAAGTGGCAGGTCGAGGTGATGGAGGGGGAGGAAGGACTAGACCTCAGCCAGAACCGTGCTGACCCTGGTCTGGGAGGGTCTCCACAACAGGGGAGGGGACTCTGGGATCTGAGAAGCTCCTTCTGGGTGTTTGGTTTTTTTTTTTTTTTTTCCTAGGAGGGAGCAGGAGGCCACGGCAGTTTGGCAGAGCTGTGGCCGGCTCAGTGGGTCTTCACTGTGTGTGGCAGGCTCTGCGGGGATGGAGAGGTAGCCTCATGTCCTTGGAAGGACCAGGTCAATCAGACTGTGGTCTAGAAACATTGTTTGGGCATTTCATGCTCAGGGTTAGGCCTCCCTTGGCAGTTCAGGGACCTGCCGTGGCAACTGCCCACCACCCTGTCCCCTGGTGGCCTCTGGCTCCGGCCAGGTGTTGAGTCAGGCTCCTGTGTTGCAGAGGTGACCACTGTGACAGTAGCCAATGTGGGTGCCTCGGCGGACAACGTCTTCACCACGTCTGTGGCCAATGCCGCCTCGCTCTCAGGCCACGTGCTGGTAAGACACGGGGGCAACTCCAGCCCGAGGAGGGCGGCACGTTCCCCGGGGACCCTGAGCCTGCCCTCCACCGAGCGCCTGGGGGGACGCGGGGAGCACACCTGGACTCTGTACACCTGAAAGCAGAGTTGTCACTGGGACAGCGGCGGACAGAGAGCTCGCTCCTGAGCATGAGGGCGGCAGGACAGTGAGGGCCACAGGGACGCAGGTTTAAGAATGGGGGTTTATATGCTCTGGTGCCTGGAGACACCGGCTGGTAGCCAGGCAGCAGCTCCGTGCCTCAGGCGTGTCCAACCCAACAGCAGGCTCTCTGGTCCAGAAGGCTGGGGAGTTAGGGCACCCCAAGTCCACGCAGAGACCCTGCAGGTCTCTGAGGACAGGAAGGCCCGGAATCTGGCATGACCTTCCTGGACGCCGACACTGAGAGGGCAGCTCAAGTGTCTGTGTGTCCCGCCTGCCTCAATAGAAAGACCCTTTGTGGCTCTCGGACCAGCATAAAACGTCCTGCTTTTCTGCTCCAGAGTCGCACGAGTCCAGCGGTGCACACTCACGCAGGGCTGACGCCCTTACTGAGGCAGCGACCCTGCAGGCCTGTGAGAGCAGGCCAGCGCGTGCGCGTGTGTGTGTGCGCGCGCCCATGGGTGAGGGCCCTCAGCCCCGCGGTCGACTGCTGTGAAGCCAACGTTTTCAGAGAGGAGTGAAGGTCTCTGGCTCACTGTTTCCATCTCAGCGTGGTAGCAGGAGTGCATCCCAGACCTTGGTGTGCGGGGTGCGCCTGGGTCCCTAGTCCACTGCAGGGCTGTCTGGGCGAGGCTGTGAGGTGTGCCTGGGGGCAGTCGGGGTGGGCTCAGCTTCTGCACGGGCAGAATGGGGCGTCTCGCTGACCCTGGGGAGGCAGTTGAGGTCACAGCAGCATACAGGCCCCAGGGGAGGCTTGTGGGCAGTGTGGGTTGGGCCCCATCTCTGGGTGGGACTTGGGGCATGAGAAGGGGTCCCGTACCAAGCGGATCTTGGCTCCTGTACCAATGGAGCTGGCCTCTTGGAGACTGTTCCTTGAGACCTGTAACCTTGTGAGAGCTTCCGGGGCAGAAGGGCAGGCCTTTCCTGGGCCAGAAGCGTGTTTATCCCCCAACTTGGACACGCCATGTGAGCATCTGCTTGGGGTCATACAGACCTCGCCTCTGGTTGGTCTTGGCTCGGCATCTGGAAGGGGTCCCCCCCGGGGGCAGTGTCAGCTGGAACCTGTCCGGGGGACCACAGCCTGGTTCAGAGGGGTGCCACGGCTGTCCCTGAGACGGTGGGTGTTCTGTCCTGCAGTCAGGCAGGACAGCCCTGCAGATCGGGGACAGCCTGAACCCCGAGAAGGCCACGCTCATCGTTGTGCACACGGACGGCAGCATCGTGGAGACCGCCGGGCTGAAGGCGCCCGCAGCCCCTCTCACCCCAGGTACCGCCCGCCCGCCCGCCCACCCGCTCCGGGCCTCCGGGACCAAGCGTCCCCTGGGCTGCTGGAGTGTATTCCTGGGTGAGCTTCTGTGTTTTGTGGGGAACTCGAATATCGAATACTGTTTAAGTAGAAAATGTTCCAGGCAGTGAGAGTTGCCCAGAGCTGTGGGGGGCGGGGTGCTGAGCTGAGGAAGACCCGTGAGCTTCCGTGGGGTCCAGGCTGCGCTCAGGGTCTCTCACGCTCGCGGCGCTTTCTTTGCTCAAGGCCCTCAGTCCCCTCCGACTCCGCTGGCTCCCGGCCAGGAGAAGGGGGGCACCAAGTACAACTGGGACCCATCGGTCTACGACAGCGAGCTGCCCGTGCGCTGCCGCAACATCAGCGGGACCCTGTACAAGAGCAGGCTCGGCTCAGGTGGGCGGGGCCGGGCCCGGGTGGGCGGGGCCGGGAGGAAGGGGGTGAGCCCCGGTGGGCGGGAGGCGGGCCCGGGAGGATGTGGGTGGGCCCAGGTGGGCGGGGGGATGGGCCTGAGCGCGGGAGACCTAGGTAGGTGAGGGGTGGACCCAGGTAAGTAAGGGGTGAACCCAGCTGGGTTGGGCTCAGACCACTGCTTCTCCTTTGAGGGTGGCCTTTCTGCAGCTGGGGTCAAGGAAGGCTGTAATGGCATAGACTAGTTAAGCAAATGGGCACTTTTAGGAGGCGGTAGGGCTGGCCCTTGTTTCCTGAGGTCTTGGGTCCACTTGGTGTCCGGTCGGCAGGAAGCTCTGCAAGTGGGCAAGGTCATCAGCTCCATGAGGGAGGTGGTGGAGCACATGGTGCCCAGGGCAGCAGGTGGACGCTTGGGCAGGTGGTCTTGCCTGCAGGTGTGGGTTCACAGCGGGGTGCCAAGGGGCAGCTGGCCTGGCATGAGCAGGAACTACAGCAGGTGGCCTGTCTTTTCAGGAGGCCGGGGTCGCTGTATCAAGCAGGGGGAGAACTGGTACAGCCCCACCGAGTTTGAAGCCATGGCAGGAAGGGCCAGCAGCAAAGACTGGAAGAGGAGCATCCGCTATGCAGGGCGGCCCCTGCAGTGCCTCATCCAGGTACCCCAGCGCGTGCCTTCCCACCGCCCACTGCCCGCCACCTGCCTCCCACGCTGTCGGCTACGGGGCTCTCAAGGCCCGCAGGCTGGAGTCAAGACAGACAGGGTTTGAGTCCTCCACTCACTTGCTGTGTGACTTGGGGCAAGTTGATTAACCTTTTTTTCCTGTTGTTTCAAATGGGATGTTAAGGACATTTGCACGGTACCTTGTGCAAGGATGAGGAATGGATGAGGCAGCATAGCTTCTGTTTGAGTGAGTGCACGTGAGTTTATTTATTAACGGGAGAAGATCAAACAGAAGTTTAAAAACATGTGTGTGGGGGAGAGACACAGTAAGACTGAATAACTCTGTTCGTGACTCTTTGAAAGACACCAACCATCTCTCTCCTCGAGCTTATCCAAGGGGATAGGGTCCCCACTCCTGTTTCCAGTTTAGCTCTTGGGGTTAGCAGGGGTGTCACGCCCATACTGCCTGGATGGGAGAGGTGGATGACATGTGCAGAGAGGTTCTGGAAATGATGGGTTCCATCCTCACAGGGGGTCAGGGTGGAGCTGGTTGGAGCCTGAGCCTGTCATGTCACTTGAGGGCCACCCTCTCATGTGTTGTGGTGTCTCATACCCTCTCCCGTATCGCGATGTCTCTGATACCCTGTCCCGTGTCACGGTGTCTCTCACACCCTGTCCCGTGTTGCAGTGTCTCTGATAGCCTGTCCCGTGTCGCGGTGTCTCTCACACCCTCTCCTGTGTCGCGGTGTCTCTCACACCCTGTCCCGTGTCGCGGAGTCTCTCACACCCTGTCCCGTGTTGCAGTGTCTCTGATAGCCTGTCCCGTGTCGCGGTGTCTCTCACACCCTCTCCCGTGTCGCGGTGTCTCTGATAGCCTGTCCCGTGTCGCGGAGTCTCTCACACCCTCTCCCGTGTCGCAGAGTCTCTGATACCCTGTCCCGTGTCGCGGTGTCTCACACCCTCTCCCGTGTCGTGGTGTCTCTGATAGCCTGTCCCGTGTCGCGGTGTCTCTCACACCCTCTCCCGTGTCGCGGTGTCTCTGATAGCCTGTCCCGTGTCGCGGTGTCTCTCACACCCTCTCCCATGTCGCGGTGTCTCTGATAGCCTGTCCCATGTCGCGGTGTCTCTGATACCCTGTCCCGTGTTGCGGAGTCTCTCACACCCTCTCCCGTGTCGCGGTGTCTCTCACACCCTCTCCCGTATCGCGGTGTCTCTCACACCCTCTCCCGTATCGCGGTGTCTCTGATACCCTGTCCTGTGTCGTGGTGTCTCTCACACCCTGTCCTGTGTCACGGAGTCTCTCACACCCTGTCCCGTGTCGCGGAGTCTCTCACACCCTCTCCCGTGTCGCGGTGTCTCTCACACCCTGTCCCGTGTCGCGGTGTCTCAGATCCTCTCCCGTGTCGCGGTGTCTCTGATACCCTGTCCCGTGTCGCGGTGTCTCTCACACCCTCTCCCTTGTCGTGGAGTCTCTCACACCCTCTCCTGTGTTGCGGTGTCTCTGATACCCTGTCCCGTGTCACGGTGTCTCTCACACCCTGTCCCGTGTCACGGAGTCTCTCACACCCTGTCCCGTGTCGCGGTGTCTCTCACACCCTCTCCCGTGTCGTGGTGTCTCTCACACCCTGTCCTGTGTCGCGGTGTCTCAGATCCTCTCCCGTGTCGCGGTGTCTCTGATACCCTGTCCCGTGTCGCGGTGTCTCTCACACCCTCTCCCTTGTCGTGGAGTCTCTGATACCCTCTCCTGTGTCGCAGTGTCTCTGATACCCTGTCCCGTGTCGCGGTGTCTCTGATACCCTGTCCCGTGTTGCGGTGTCTCTGATAGCCTGTCCTGTGTCGTGGTGTCTCTGATAGCCTGTCCCGTGTCGCGGTGTCTCTCACACCCTCTCCCGTGTTGCAGTGTCTCTGATAGCCTGTCCCGTGTCGCGGAGTCTCTCACACCCTCTCCCGTGTCGCGGAGTCTCTGATACCGTCTCCCGTGTCGCGGTGTCTCTCACACCCTCTCCCATGTCGCGGTGTCTCTGATAGCCTGTCCCGTGTCGCGGTGTCTCTGATACCCTGTCCCGTGTCGCGGAGTCTCTCACACCCTCTCCCGTGTCGTGGAGTCTCTCACACCCTCTCCCGTATCGTGGTGTCTCTGATAGCCTGTCCCATGTCGCAGTGTCTCTCACACCCTGTCCCGTGTTGCGGTGTCTCTCACACCCTCTCCCGTGTCGTGGTGTCTCTGATAGCCTGTCCCATGTCGCGGTGTCTCTCACACCCTGTCCCGTGTCGCGGTGTCTCTCACACCCTCTCCTGTGTCGCGGTGTCTCTCACACCCTGTCCCGTGTCGCGGAGTCTCTCACACCCTGTCCCGTGTTGCAGTGTCTCTGATAGCCTGTCCCATGTCGTGGTGTCTCTCACACCCTCTCCCGTGTCGCGGTGTCTCTGATAGCCTGTCCCGTGTCGCGGAGTCTCACACCCTCTCCCGTGTCGCGGAGTCTCTGATAGCCTGTCCTGTGTTGCGGTGTCTCTCACACCCTCTCCCGTGTCGCGGTGTCTCTGATACCCTGTCCCGTGTCGCGGAGTCTCTCACACCCTCTCCCGTGTCGTGGTGTCTCTCACACCCTCTCCCGTATTGCGGTGTCTCTCACACCCTGTCCCGTGTCGCGGTGTCTCTGATACCCTTTCCCGTGTTGTGGTGTCTCACACCCTCTCCTGTGTTGCGGTGTCTTCCAATCCCCAGGATGGGATCCTGAACCCTCACGCAGCCTCCTGCACCTGTGCCGCCTGCTGTGATGACATGACCCTGGTGAGTGCCCCCAGCCCCGTCGGCTCCTCTCTGGCTGCTTCCCCCTTAGTTTCTCCTCAGACTCTGTCGTTTGGATATTGCTCTGATGGCTGAGGCCTCAGCGGGCCCTAGGACTGCTCGGAGAGCCTGAAGGGAACTTTCTTAGATAAAATAAACCTCCGTGATGTCACAGTCTCGGCCCCTGTGTTCTATTCGTGATGACGCTGTGTTAGTTTACGTTTTGCATTTTTAACATCGTTTTGTAAAAACGCTACGCTGGACTGATTTGTGTAGAGAACACTTGATGTCTTTGACGTCTTTCCTTGCCCTGATTCCTAACTGTTTAAAGATGGGCCTCTTCACCGGTTCTGACGTTGCTGAGTGGCTTTCAGCGTGATGCCAGTCTGTAATGTGTGAACCACCAGCTTTGTTTCGGTCTTTCTGTTGTTGAATGTGATTTTTAAATGTCTCAGAATTAACTGAAAACCTGCTTCATGAGGTTTCCTCTTAAGAAAACTTTAAAGTTTTATTTTTTTGTAGTACTTTTAAAAAATTTATTTACTTGTTGTTGCCCTGGGTCTTTGTTGCTGTCTGGGCTTTCTCCAGCTGCAGCGGGTGGTGGCTTCTCGCTGTGGAGCAGGGCTCTCAGACACGCAGTCTTCCGCAGTCGCAGTGCATGGGCTCAGGAGTTGTAGCACATGGGCTTAGTTGCTCCGTGGCTTGTGGAATCTTCCCAGACCAGGGATCAAACCCGTATCCCCTTAATTGGCAGGCAGGTTCTCATTCACTGTATCACCAGGGAAGTCCTCCTTTTTAAAGTTCAATTGCTCATCTGGTTAACTATTAGCAGCTGTGGAAGAAAGCACAATTGGAGAGACGTTCTTGACTGGGAAAACCAAATATTCTGAAGCTGTCTAGTTTGTACACAGATTACTAGTTTGTACACAGATTACACGTGATTCTAATAGAATGTCGTTGTTCAGTCACTAATTCTTGTTCAACTCTCTGTGACCCCGTGGTCTGCAGCACACCAGGCTTCCCCCTCCTTTACTGTTTCTCAGAGTTTCCTCAAACTCATGTCCAGTGAGTTGGTGATGCCATCCGACCATCTCATCCTCTGTTACCCCCTTCTCCTCCAACCCTCAATCTTTCCCAGCATCAGGGTCTTTTCCAGTGAGCCGGCTCTTGGCATCAGGTGGCCGAAGAATTACCCAGCAGGATATCTGTGTGAGAATAAAATGCTTTTAAAGTTTGCTTGGGGGGACCGGCAGGTATGTTCTTGGAGGTCTTACAGGGGTCAAAGGAGCAGAGCAGGAGGTTTGCCCTGTCAGAAAGCGTGGAACACACAGCAGGGTTATCTGTGGCCTCTGCAAATGCTGGAACCCTGAGGTGTCACCTTCGGGGCGGAACCTAGATGCTGAAAGCTGGAAGCTGTCAGAAGAGAACTCAGGGATGCTTTGGACCCGTGGGGTGGGAGCCTCTATGTGGGGAAGGTGTTCTTCTCCCCAGGTAGGTCTACAGGTTTGACATGGCTCCCTTCACAGTCCTGGCAGGATTTTAAGTATTCTAAGGTTTGTATGGGAAGTCAGAGGAAATGGGATTGGGGCATGGCTTTGAGGATGAAGACTAAGGCTGGAGGGATCACAGCTCAGGACCCCCAGACTTGTCGAGTGGTGTCCTTGGGCGAGAGCGTGTGGTTTTGCAGAGGGGGGGGCCCATCAATCTAGGGGCAGACCAGCCACCCACACTCGGACCCACAAGGTGTGGGGACAGTTGGACACTGTAGGCATAGAAGTGACCCTTGACCTAGACATCATACTTTATATACAAATGAATTAAAAGTGGATTCTAGAGTCAAATTTGTTGAAAACAAAATTAGTTTTTAGAAGAAAATCTTTGTGATCTCAAGTTAGACTTGGGATTTTTTAGACATGGAACCAAAGGTGCAATCAATGAAATAAAATCTCGTATGTCTCTTTCATCAAATGGACACATTTTGGCTTCCACGTCAGGAATGGTGGTCTGCAGAGCCCCATGGACCAACTCCCCAGAGACATAATCCTCATTGGCAAAACAATGGAAAAAAGCTGCTTAAGATGTCTGAAAGCTGTCCTGGGGGCATACAGTAAAAAATATTTTTACTCAGGAGAATCTTGTGAGTCTGGTGTGTGAGCCAGGGCCTGTTCCCTCCCTGCGTGCCCGTTTGGCTGAGGGGAAGCTCCGTTCCAGGTCCCTGGCCCCATCGTCCGGCCCCGCTCGCCTGTACCCAACGCAATGCAGGTCCCTGCAGCGAAGGCAGTGATAGGACCAAGGAGTTAGGCTGATGCCCGTGAGTGCTTCCTAGGCTCCGCTTAGGGTGGTGTGTGGGGCGGGTGCCAGCTAAACGACTGCCCGGGGCATTTCCTCTAGGTGTGTCCTAAAAGCCCCCAGTACAGAGCCCCAGGTGCCTGGATCCCACAGTGTAGCCGTTTGCAGAGGGTAGCTGGAGACCGCAGAGCCAGCAGCTGGTGCAGCAGCTTGACTGCTGCTGGCCGGGGGCGCCGCAGGGGACGGTTTGTGCAGGCCTGCAGCCGGGGAGCCTGGGGGGGGAGCAGCCATCTGCACCGTGGCTCAGTACAGCGCCCAGAATGTCCAGCTTCAACAGAAATCACGAGACATGTAAAGGAATGGGGATGTGTGAGCCCCACAGAAGAACAGCAGCAGGCAGTAGGCGCTTCCCGTTGCAGCAGCTGGTGGGGCTTCCAGGCAGGCTCTGCGTCTGCAGGGTGGAAGCATTCTCAGCAGGGGCCTCGGTCTCTGTCTCAGTCTGCGGGGCTGGGGCCGCGGCGGGCACCATAGCCTGGGTACCACAGCCGGGCACCACGCCCAGGGCAGCTGCAGCACACGTGGGCTCACAGCTGTGGAGGCGGCAGCCCAGGTCCGAGTGCTGGCTTGCTCCCGGCAGGGTCTCCTCTTGGCCTGCAGGCTTTCACTCATGTGGCAGTTAGGGGATCTTTCTGGTGTCTCCTCCTGCAGGGACACTAATCCCATCAGGTTAGGGCGCCACCCTCCTTACTCCTAATGCAGCCACACTGCTGGATGGGACCTCACAGTTCAGCCCAGAAGGTGTGACAACAACGTCTCATCATGTGGAGAAAATCATGAAAGGGAGGAGCCCAGAGGAAATCCTGGGGTTGAGAAGAAAGTCCACACTTGGGTCCACAACACATGCGAAAGGGCAGCAGGAAGGGCCAGTGAGCCCACGGGGTCTCAGGCACAAGCCAGGAGGTTCCCTAACCTTTCCCTTGTCCTGCCTTCCTGCACCATTGAGGGCCTCTGCTCCTGCGTGTCTGGGTCTGTGGGGCGCCCCCTGCCCTCATGGGCCCCTCTCCGTTTTTCTTTGGTCCCCGTTTGTTTTCTGTCTTCTGGGAATTCCTAAGAAATCTGGTGTGGATGATGCTCACTGTTTGCAGCACTGTCACTCACTCATTCTCCCTGAAAGCACCTCTTCTGTTACTTCGAGGCACTGGGGTGAAGGGAGCTGAGCTCGGCGCGTCCCTGGGCAGGGCGTCCATTGGGACAGAGTCTGGGGCGGTTCCCTATCATCTCACTCTGAGCCCCACCCCCTAGAGTGGCCCTGTTCGGCTCTTCGTGCCCTACAAGAGGCGCAAGAAGGAGAGTGAGCTGCCGGCCACGCCTGTCAAGAAGGACGCACCCAAGAACATCACATTGCTCCCCGCCACCGCCGCCACCACCTGTGAGTGTCCGTGGGGCTGCTGCCACCACGCGTGCTCTGAGCACATGCTGCCCACGCGTGTGGCCAAGGGCTTTGGGTCTAGAACAGCACAGCTCCTGCTCCCAGAGGCCCCTTGGCCTCCTGGGTCCCGGCCGCTCCTCTGCAGCGGCTTGGCGCTGAGCCCGGGCGTCTGGGTCTTGGCAGCCCCCTGCCCTCAGAAGCTGCGTACACCCCAGGTGGGTAGACGAGGCTGCTGGGAGTTGAGGGAGGAGCCCCTGCTCCTGAAACCTCGAGACAGTGCCAGGGACGGGGGAGACCCGAAGGGAGGGAAGGTCTGGGGGCTGACGAGTCCTCAGAGACTGTCCACGACCCAGCTCCTGAGGTGGTGGGCGAGCTGACCTGGGTCCTTGGGGGCTGGTTGGCCCGGAGGACACGGAGCTCCGAGATGCTGGGAGGCGGGACTGCTGTTTCTCTTCAGCTTCGGTGAGACTTTTCCTTAGGGTACACGCGTGTGTGTGTTTAGGATCCAACAGCGGGAGCTGCCTCTGGGGGGGTGGACCTTGCCCACACTGGCGCTGGGCGCTGCCCTGCGGAGATGGACTGGGGGCCCCCAGGCGCTGATGCGCACCCCACGCCACCCCCGCCCCATCGCTGGGTTTCTGGCTTGGCGCAGTGACGGCTGCCCTGCCCTTGCAGTCACCGTGACGCCCTCAGGACAGATCACTACCTCGGGCGCGCTGACCTTTGACCGGGCGTCCACTGTGGAGGCCACTGCTGTCATCTCAGAGAGTCCAGCCCAGGGCGATGTCTTTGCGGGAGCCACAGGCAAGTTGTCTCAGCCCTGGTGCCTTGGCCCCAAGAGGCTCCCCCTTCCACCGGCAGGAACCACAGAGACCCTGAAGGAGGGGGTGGGGGCTCGGGGCTTGGCCGGTAGTGGCAGGACCAGGACCTGAAAAGCCAAGGCCACTCATGGACTGTAGGGAGAGCCAGCGGACAGAGGCGCCCTGTTCATCTGTAAACTCTGAGGCCACGTTAGGGAGTGAAAGGAGCAGCAGAAGCCCACCTGCTCCTGTGCAGTTCTGGTTCCTTCTGGGTCCCCGGCATTGTCATCGGTTCTGTTCCGTCTGGGTCCCCGGCATTGTCGTTGGTTCTGTTTCTGTTCCATCTGGGACCCCCAGCACTGTCATCAGTTCTGTTCCATTGGGGCCCCCGGCGCAGTCGTCGGTTCTGGTTCTGGTTCTGTCGGGGCCCCTGGCGCGGTTGTCAGTTCTGGTTCTGGTTCCGTCTGGGCCCCCCGCGCGGTCGTCGGTTCTGGTTCCATCTGGGCCCCCGCGCGGTCTTCGGTTCTGGTTCTGGTTCCGTCGGGGCCCCCGCGCGGTCTTCGGTTCTGGTTCTGGTTCCGTCGGGGCCCCCAGCATGGTCGTCCCAACAGTCCACTTCCTCCACATGTGGGCTCGGGGGCTGCCTGGCTGGACGCGCAGCAGCAGGGTCACAGGCATGGCGCCCCTCTCCGCACAGTGCAGGAAGCGGGCGTGCAGCCCCCGTGCAGGGTTGGCCACCCGGAGCCCCACTACCCCGGTTATCAGGACAGCTGCCAGATCGCACCGTTCCCCGAGGCTGCGCTGCCGACGTCTCATCCCAAAATAGGTGAGTGAAGGAAGCCCGCTCCTGAGGTCGGGGGAGGCAGTCCTGTGTTTGTAGACTGGAAGCTGCTGCCCGATTCCGGGTGGGGCAAGGCTGCTCACCTGGTGCCCTGTGCCCTGCAGAGCCTAGAATCCGGGCAGGCTCTACCTGCGATCCTGCTTTGGGTCAGTGTCTGAGGACACTTGTCCCGCCAGCTTCAGGTGTGACAGTGTGCATGTTTGTGACTCGCTGGCCTGAAGCCAGGACATCCCTGTGAGTGTGTGTGATTGTCAGTACTTGCCTCCCCCAACACATCTACTAAAGCCCAGCCCCAGGAGAGCCCCAGCGGGCCGCGGCCAGCCTCGGGGGTGTCCACCCCATGTCACTGCACTCCTGCCTACTTGCTCCTCACTGGTTCCAGTGTGGACTCATGGCTTCCTGTTTTCTTCAGGGTGGTGCAGCCTGTTCCTGAGGTGATTGTGTCGGGGTGTGTCCTGCTCTAGCCTGCGGGGCCCCTGAGAGCAGCTGCTGCCCCCTCTGTCTGCCCTGTCACACTGCCTGTCCCCTCATATCCGGTGCAGCGAGGGCTGGAAGCTGGTCTCAGGGTCCCGTCCTTCCAGGCCCCTGCCCTCCCAGGGGGCGGGGTTCACAGCCGAGGTCTGGCCACTCTATGGGTCTGGCTCCTGAGTGCTGACCGTGCATCTCATGTAGCTCTTGTCTAGTGGTTACACCTGGGAGCTGGGAACGGGCCTTGGTGGGGCATTTGCACCAAGGACTCAGCTGGAGCTCCCGTCAGGGCGTTTCCTTGGAGGAGGCAGACATGCACAGCACAGCCTGGATGTGCACGTCTCCCCCGGGGTATCTCTGCCCAGGCCCCTCAGGACAGAGGTGGGCAGGCCTCGTGCATCCAAAGTGTGAGTCTCCACTTCATGTCCAGAGCCAGCATTGCCCCAGGTTCCCTTTCCACCCCTGTGATTTCTTCTGTAGCTGAGAGGAACCTGCCCCCCACCAGCCCTGATCTGTGCCCCCACACCCCCATGCCCACAGAAGGCCCTGAAGGTTTCTGTGCGAGCAGAAACGAAACCAGGAGGCTTCAGCTCCTGCTTGCAGTTGGCACGCCGTCTGTGGTCGGGTAGCTGTAGCCACAGTAGGGCTTGGAGGGGGAGCCGGGGTGTGAGGGCATCTCTGCACCTGCAGCGTCTTAGGTCCCCTCAAGGCCTGCGCTCTGCACCAGACTTGATGAGAACACAGAGGTCCCTTGGAGCCAGGCGACCTGCTGACTCCTTGCTCTGTTTTGCTTCCTTCGGGCTAGTGCTGACGTCCCTGCCGGCCCTGGCAGTGCCGCCCTCCACCCCCACCAAAGCCGTCTCCCCCACGGTGGTCAGCGGGCTGGAGGTGTCGGAGCAGCGGAGCTGGCTGTACCTAGAAGAGATGGTCAACTCTCTGCTCAGCACCGCGCAGCAACTGAAGACGCTGTTTGAACAGGCCAAGCAGGCCAGCTCCTACCGGGAGGCCGCCGCGGCCCAAGCCAGAGCCCAGGCGGACGCCGAGAGGAAGGAGGTACTGTCCGCACCGCGGGTCTGCGCCTGCCTGCAGCGCCCACTCGCCTTCCCCGGGCAGGGGCGCCGGCGTTGCACACACAAGTGAAGCTTCTCTGCTGGCGAGGGCGGGCATCCCCCTCAGGCTTTCGGCTCTCACACACGCTTCACTTGTGGCAGACGGCGCTCATCCCGTTAGGCCAGCCTCCCTGGGGAAGCGTCTCCTGTGATGCAGAGTCACGGGATGGAGCAACATCCTTGCTGGGCTCTCGGGGCAGCGGGCGGGGCGGCTGTGCGTCGAACGGCACCTGCCCCTCCAGGAGGCCAGCTCTGCGCCTGTGTCTCGCCCCAGAGGGGCTATCGTGGGTACTTCACGTCCCGCATTCAGGGTCTGGAAGCTTTGTGCCCAGAGCGCTTCCTGCAGCACAAGGGCCCTAAGCCCCCAGCAACCCCGCAGCCCTTGTGGAGGTGGCTGCTTGGTGCCCGGAGCCCTCGTGAGTGGCCGGGGCCGGCTGAGAGCGGGCAGCAGGGGGTGTTCCTGGTTACAGTAGCTGTGGACGGTTGTTTGTAAACGAGCCATGTTTTTTTCTCACCAAATCTATATAAAAAAATTTTTCATTTTAGCACTACTTTTTGTAGACAAGAGGAAAGAAGGTTTTATCGGAGTATTAATTATGTTTTTGTTTTGCTGAGGCTTGCAGAATCTGGAGGGGGGCTGTGGGGGACTGTCATAGCCAGGAGGCAGTGGACTGAAAACCCACCTGCTTTTGGAGTCTTTTGGAGGCTCCTCTGCTCCGATTAGTCCCGAGTGGCCGCTTAGCGTGGTCGCCTCTTCCCCTGGTTCACGGACCATCTTCACCGTCACCTCTCTGAGGTCTCAGCTGATTCTGACCTTCCCGTTGTCTCAGGATCTGCTGTGTTCACTCCTCCCCTTGCACCTGGGGACGCCCTGCTCCTGCTAGTTCCAGGCACTTTGATTCCAGGCAGGAGCTCTGAGCTCTGCTGGGTTCTGTCTGCTCACCTGGGAAGTGCTGGACTTGGTCCTCCAAAGCAGCTGAGCTGGCTGCTCTCCCAGCCATCGTGCAGGGGTCTGTCTCGGTTTCTGTTGCTGGACGTGTCTGTAGGCCTGGTCTGGAGGACAGGGATGGCCTTGCTGCTGCTCTCACGTGGGGGTTGCAGGCTCTCCTGGCGGGGGTGGGGGCACTGTGGGCCCAGCTGTCTTGCCCATTGTTTCTGCTGGCTCAGCCCCGTGCTGGCTCCCTGGGGACGGCCAGGGCCTGTGGCCACTGTGCACCGGCCCGTCCGCTTTCCTCTTTTCTGGCCATCTGCAGCTCCAGCCTCGGCCTGCTGCCCACACCCTCCCCTCCCCCGCCCCCAGGTTCAGCGTCCTCCCCCCACCCCCCGCCAATCCCTGCCCCACCTGCCAGGGCCTCCCCAAGCCAGGCCCCCTCCATTCCTGCCTGCTCTCCTCGCTTTCCCGACCTCAGATCGCTGCCTCCTGGCTCCGTGGTGACTGTCGGGAGGGTCAGCCTGCAGGCTGCTCTGGTGACCTGAATGGCAGCTGCCTCTTTTTCTCTTTGGCTTGGGAGGCTGTGTGCCTGAGCCACGATGGTCTCGTGCTGCTCAGAGACCAACTTTTTAATCATTTAATATTTGCATATTTCACATTTATAAGCATTTTACTACTTTTCTTTTTTAAATGTTTATTTGTATCTGGTTTTGCATTATAACCAGTCTTAGTTATTCTTTTTTTTTTCAGCCTTAGTTATTTTCGTGTGTTCATATGTTCACATATTTATGATCTTATATTTTAGAAAAATCCCTAACATGCATAATGAAAGCGTCTTCTTTTTCTCGCTGAGATGCGGTGCACAGGCTGCAGGATTCACCCTTTAAGGCGCACAGCCCAGCAGCTTGTTCACACTCATTCAGCCGTCCCCATCGATTCCAGGCCTCTCCACCTCCAGAGAAACCCCGGACCTGTGAGCACCACCACCACCCACCCCCAGGTCCCCACTGCACTCGCCTGCTTTCTCTCTCTGACTGCCTGTTCCCACCCACCCAGACCCCACTACACTCACCCGCTTTCTCTCTCTGACTCTGTCTGTTCCCACCCACCCAGACCCCACTACACTCACCTGCTTTCTCTCTCTGACTCTGCCTGTTCCCACCCACCCAGACCCCACTACACTCACCTGCTTTCTCTCTCTGACTCTGCCTGTTCCCACCCACCCAGACCCCACTACACTCACCCGCTTTCTCTCTCTGACTCTGCCTGTTCCCACCCACCCAGACCCCACTACACTCACCCGCTTTCTCTCTCTGACTCTGCCTGTTCCCACCCACCCCAGACCCCACTACACTCACCCGCTTTCTCTCTCTGACTCTGCCTGTTCCCACCCACCCAGACCCCACTACACTCACCCGCTTTCTCTCTCTGACTGCCTGTTCCCACCCACCCAGACCCCACTGCACTCACCCGCTTTCTCTCTCTGACTCTGCCTGTTCCCAGCCACCCAGACCCCACTACACTCACCCGCTTTCTCTCTCTGACTCTGCCTGTTCCCACCGACCCAGACCCCGCTACACTCACCCGCTTTCTCTCTCTGACTCTGCCTGTTCCCACCCACCCAGACCCCACTACACTCACCCGCTTTCTCTCTCTGACTCTGCCTGTTCCCACCCACCCCAGACCCCACTACACTCACCTGCTTTCTCTCTCTGACTCTGCCTGTTCCCACCCACCCAGACCCTGCTACACTCACCCGCTTTCTCTCTCTGACTCTGCCTGTTCCCACCCACCCAGACCCCACTACACTCACCCGCTTTCTCTCTCTGACTCTGCCTGTTCCCACCCACCCAGACCCCACTACACTCACCCGCTTTCTCTCTCTGACTCTGCCTGTTCCCACCCACCCAGACCCCACTACACTCACCCGCTTTCTCTCTCTGACTGCCTGTTCCCACCCACCCAGACCCCACTGCACTCACCCGCTTTCTCTCTCTGACTCTGCCTGTTCCCAGCCACCCAGACCCCACTACACTCACCCGCTTTCTCTCTCTGACTCTGCCTGTTCCCACCGACCCAGACCCCGCTACACTCACCCGCTTTCTCTCTCTGACTCTGCCTGTTCCCACCCACCCAGACCCCACTACACTCACCCGCTTTCTCTCTCTGACTCTGCCTGTTCCCACCCACCCCAGACCCCACTACACTCACCTGCTTTCTCTCTCTGACTCTGCCTGTTCCCACCCACCCCAGACCCCGCTACACTCACCCGCTTTCTCTCTCTGACTCTGCCTGTTCCCACCCACCCAGACCCTGCTACACTCACCCGCTTTCTCTCTCTGACTCTGCCTGTTCCCACCCACCCAGACCCCGCTACACTCACCCGCTTTCTCTCTCTGACTCTGCCTGTTCCCACCCACCCAGACCCCACTACACTCACCCGCTTTCTCTCTCTGACTCTGCCTGTTCCCACCCACCCCAGACCCCACTACACTCACCCTCTTTCTCTCTCTGACTCTGCCTGTTCCCACCCACCCAGACCCCACTACACTCACCCGCTTTCTCTCTCTGACTCTGCCTGTTCCCACCCACCCCAGACCCCACTGCACTCACCTGCTTTCTCTCTCTGACTCTGCCTGTTCCCACCCACCCAGACCCCACTACACTCACCCGCTTTCTCTGACTCTGCCTGTTCCCACCCACCCAGACCCCGCTACACTCACCCGCTTTCTCTCTCTGACTCTGCCTGTTCCCACCCACCCCAGACCCCACTACACTCACCTGCTTTCTCTCTCTGACTCTGCCTGTTCCCACCCACCCCAGACCCCACTACACTCACCCGCTTTCTCTCTCTGACTCTGCCTGTTCCCACCCACCCAGACCCCACTACACTCACCCGCTTTCTCTCTCTGACTCTGCCTGTTCCCACCCACCCAGACCCCACTACACTCACCTGCTTTCTCTGACTTTGCCTGTTCCCACCCACCCCAGACCATGGCTACACTCACCCACTTTATGTCTCTGACTCTGCCTGTTCCCACCCACCCAGACCCCACTACACTCACCTGCTTTCTCTCTCTGACTCTGCCTGTTCCCACCCACCCAGACCCCACTACACTCACCCGCTTTCTCTCTCTGACTCTGCCTGTTCCCACCCACCCAGACCCCACTGCACTCACCCGCTTTCTCTCTCTGACTCTGCCTGTTCCCACCCACCCAGACCCCACTACACTCACCTGCTTTCTCTCTCTGACTCTGCCTGTTCCCACCCACCCAGACCCCACTACACTCACCCGCTTTCTCTGACTCTGCCTGTTCCCACCCACCCAGACCCCACTACACTCACCTGCTTTCTCTCTCTGACTCTGCCTGTTCCCACCCACCCAGACCCCACTACACTCACCCGCTTTCTCTGACTCTGCCTGTTCCCACCCACCCAGACCCCACTACACTCACCCGCTTTCTCTGACTCTGCCTGTTCCCACCCACCCAGACCCCACTACACTCACCTGCTTTCTCTGACTTTGCCTGTTCCCACCCACCCCAGACCATGGCTACACTCACCCACTTTATGTCTCTGACTCTGCCTGTTCCCACCCACCCAGACCCCGCTACACTCACCCGCTTTCTCTCTCTGACTCTGCCTGTTTCCACCCACCCAGACCCCACTGCACTTGCCTGCTTTCTCTCTCTGACTCTGCCTGTTCCCACCCACCCAGACCCCGCTACACTCACCCGCTTTCTCTCTCTGACTCTGCCTGTTCCCACCCACCCAGACCCCACTACACTCACCCGCTTTCTCTCTCTGACTCTGCCTGTTCCCACCCACCCCAGACCCCGCTACACTCACCCGCTTTCTCTCTCTGACTCTGCCTGTTCCCACCCACCCAGACCCCACTACACTCACCCACTTCCTGTCTCTGGCTTTGCCTGTTTCTGCGCGTTTCTTGGAAACGGGAATCATACAGGATGTGGTCTTTTGTGTCTGATTTCTTTCCCTGAGCAGAATGTTTTCACGATGCATCCACACTGTAACCTGGATCAGTATTTCACTCCTTTTTATGACTAAATACCACTCGCCACATCACTTTTTCGCTCTGCCATCAGTGGACGTTCTCAGTGTTTCTACTTCTGGCCACGGTGAATGTGCTCTGACATTTGTGCACAGCTGTCTGTATGGATGTGTGTTGTAACTTCTCTAGGGTGTGAAGCTGGGAGCCAAGCCACTGGGTCCCATGGTGGCTCCAGATTCACTCTCTAAGGAGCTGCCAGCCTGTGTGCCCCTGTGGTTGCCTGTCCAGTGTCCACCATCGTGTCTGCCATCTCCCTGCTGAGCCTGGGGGGTGTAGGGGAGACCCTGGTCCTTGCTTAGAGTCAAGGGCTGGGAGTGCAGGTGTGGGGAGGCCGCTGTGCGCCCCCACCCCAGCAGTCAGACCAGCTGGACAGTGGGCAGGCAGCTCGGGCTGCTGACTGCACGGAACCCAGAACCTCATCCCAGGAGGGAAGTGCAAAAGGAAGCGGTTTAACTTTCGGTTTTACATTTTTCATAGATTTTTGTGGACTTTCTTTCACAGAATAAAACTACAAGTAAATTCTGTGAAAATTCTCTGAGGACAGATGGACAGAAAGAGAAAGTCTAGGTTAGGATGCAACACGGGGCCCCACCTGCTCGGGTCATGCGGGTACTTTCAGGGCCCTGTGCTGGCTCAGCTGCCTGGGTTTTGTTTCTCAGATAGGACCAGCCTACAGTCACAGCCAGGCTCATCCACATGAAGGGTCCAGAAGCTGAATTCCTGCTGTGCAGACCTCCTGATGTGTGTGTCTGACGGGTCAGCCAGGAGCGTCTGGCACGGCGGGGTTGCTCAGGTCCCCACCCATGAAAGGCTGGGCTGTGCATTTTGTTTGTAATTTCATGTATTTCTAAGAAAGAAATGCGATATGAAATGCCCTTATACTTGATAGTGCTCTTAGGTGGAAGACACTCAGCCTTAGTGAGAGGCTTGAGCCTTCTCCACCGGGACATAATCACATGTCCGTTTCCTGAGCCCTGACACCGGTGGGGGCTCACAGGCAGGCCCACCCTCTCTCGGGAGCCGGTGTTGGGACGTGTCCTCCCATGGCTGTCCTGTAAGCTGGACACACGGCCAGGGGAAGCAGGCATCCTGGGTTCCGGCATCACATAGGTGGAGCTGGTGTCCTCATGTGTGTGTGCTGGTGGCTCCAGGCTCCTCAGGTGACCTGCTTCTGTTTCCTGCAGATGTCAGTTGACCACCCTCCACAGCTAGTGTGTTCACCTTTGTAACTGCTGATGCGTCTGAGCCATGGCCCCTGCTGACCACGATGCCTGGACGCTGGGTCTTGGGAACCAGACTCCTTGGGGAGCCTTCGCCAGGATCATCTGGGGACTGAGGGGTCATGACTTGACTCATGCAAGTGAGGCGCCCAGAATGTGTCCCTGAAGCAGGTGGCAGCAGTGAGGAGTGACCTTCAGGGTCTGGGTGGCAAGGAGCCAGAAGGCTGGGGGTGGAGGGGGCACGGGCCTGTCGTGGAGGGGCTTCTGGACACCTGACGATCCCCCCACTCTGGGTCACACGGCAAGAGGCAGGCACCCCCACCCCCGATCACACAGAGAGAGGACCCCCCACAGATCACATCGAGAGAGACCCCCCACCCCGGATCACGCAGAGAGAGCCCCCGCCCTGGATTACACAGAGAGAGGAACCCCCTCACACAGATCACATGGAGAGAGACCTCCCCCTGCCCCAGATCACACGGAAAGAGACCCCCCGCCCCGGATCACACGGAGAGAGATGGCTCCAGAGGAACTGTTGCTATAGACCCTGTTGGGAGGCATCCACAGCGTGCTCCTCAGCTCTGAGGGTCGTGTGTGGTGGGGAGCAGAGAGTCCATGGAGGGGCCCCACGTGAGGACCCAGGCACTTACTTGCCTCCAAGGGAGGGAACCAGGGCTGCCTTCTTGGATGTTTCATGTGGAATTTCTTAGAAAATCAAATTTTAGCCGAACTGAACTATCAGAGAGGTTTAGTCAGTTTTAACCATGGGGCATTTGTGTTGTGTGTTTATAATTAGCTCAGCAGAGATTAAACAGGGCAGAAGACCAGACGCCCTTCCCATCAAGGGCGCCATGTCCAGCAGAAGCCAGCCACGTGGCTGCAGGGCGCCGGGCCTGTGCTGTGGCCCGTGCGCATGTCCCTGGCTCCTTCTCGGGCCTTCGCTGGTCACCCGCCTTCCCGTCAAGAGGCAAGTGTGGTCAGAAGGGCGCTGTGCCGAGGGCTCCGGCCAGCGCTGCGGGCGCACAGCAGACGCTGTTCTCAGTGCTGGCGGGAGCCCGGTGCCCGTGGACCAGCAGCGCCGTCTCTTGTGGCTGCCCAGGGGGAGGCTCTCGCGTTTCTGTCTTCTCAGGGCCTTACCTCACCCCAGGGTCCAGCTGTGAAGTGCAGCAGTCCCCCTTTTCCTTACTGGGCACGCTGGGTGGGGAGCTCCTCCTGGACAGGGCTGGTGTGGGGGTGTTTCCAGAACCCTCCCCTGCAGATTGTCTCTGGTCCCTTTGTTTGTGTCTGGGTGGACTCTGGGGGCCCGTGTTATGCGCTTTGCTCAGCTTGTTGCATCTTTGGCAGCTGGAACTATCTCAGTGTCTCCCAAGTCCCTTACCTGCCCCTCTGAACTCCTTCCTCCTCTCTAGGACTAGAAGACCCCCCCAGGCCCACACTGAGGGCTCCCTGCCCCCGCCCTGTTGTTGTTTACTCACTCAGTCGTGTCCAACTCTTTGCGACCCCATGGACTGCAGCGCACCAGGCTCTTTTGTCCTTCACTATCTCCGGGAGTTTGCTTACACTCCTGTTGGTTGAATCAGTGATGCCATCCAGCCTCAGGCCTGGAATCAGCCGTGGAGAATGAATGGTCTTAGGAACCAAGATCTGGGCCTTGTTGGCTGGCAGCGTGGAGCCGTGTGGGTTCTGGCAGGTGTGCGCAGACCCCGCCCCGGGCAGTCTCCGCCCACCGCCTCCACTTGCACGTGTGCTAATGTGCCTGACTCAGATCCCGAGCTTCTGCTTATTTCGGGTTAAGAAATCGTTTTCCCAAGGTGATGCGTTGGGAAGGCCCAAGGGGTTGGAAATACTTTCTGTACAAAAGTGGCACATGCCCCACAAAGTTCATCATGATGCAGGCCTTTGTGGTGAGAGGCGATTACTCAGTGCCTGCTCTTGTCCAAGGATGGCCCTGGTGCTGGGAGCACAGCCAGGGTGGGCCCAGGTGCTGGTGGGGGTCAGGCTGCGGCATGAAGGCTGCTTCCCCTAGATGAGAGACAGGAGGGTCCTTGGGGTCCCAGATCTCGCAGGCGGCTGCTGGGGGCTCTGCAGGACCTCTGCTCCACCCCGAATCTCTGTGTGGCCACAGACTTCATGCTGCTTCTTTTGTCCTGGAAAGGAGAGGCAGGGACAAGCCAGCTTACTGCCTCTCTGATGCAGGAGTTTCCTGAAAGAGTGGGGGTGGCAGGTTATAGGTGGAAAGTGTCGGTCAGCATTGTGGTCGGCAGACAAGGAAGTTGAATCCAGAACAGGAACCAAGACACAGGATGCTGTTTTTGCCAACACAGTCCCCCACCGGTCGGAGCAGGGGCCTGGCCTGCAGCGTGCTGGGGTCCTGGCTGCCTGCCACCGTGGGTCACAGCTGCACACACTGGCCCAGCCCCGTCACCCCCTTGCACCGACCCCTACCGCCCCTCCCCGCTTTAGAAGGAGCAGCGTCATGCTTTGTGGGGAAAGCACACAGAAGGCCCACTTCACAGAGCCCAGCTGGTGGGCTAGGGACGCCTGGGGTGCAGGACAAGGGGCACCCAGGCTGTTGGTGGGGGCCTTCCAGGGCCTGGCACTCAGGGGCTGGCCCTGAACGCCAGAGAATGCTGGCCCTCCCAGTTTGCTTTCTGCATGCTGGGTGGAAATGAAATCCCTGCAGTTTGGAGGGAGGTTGGCCTGTATGTGATCCAGCCCCCTGCCTCCTGCTCAGAGTCTGTAAGGCGAGGGCAGGAGATGCGGGTCAGTCTGGTCCCGGTCACCTGCCCCCCTCTGTGTCTCTGGGCGGCGTGCCCACCACTGACACCCTGTCCTCTTGCAGCAGTCCTGTGTGAACTGTGGCCGCGAGGCCCTGAGCGAGTGCACCGGCTGCCACAAGGTCAACTACTGCTCCACCTTCTGCCAGCGCAAGGTAGGCCCCGCCCCCACCCCTCCCATCTGCCAGTGCGAGGTAGGCCCCGCCCCCACCCCTCTCATCTGCCAGTGCGAGGTAGGCCCCGCCCCCACCCCTCCCATCTGCCAGTGCGAGGTAGGCCCCGCCCCCGCCCCTCCCATCTGCCAGTGCGAGGTAGGCCCCGCCCCCACCCCTCCCATCTGCCAGTGCGAGGTAGGCCCCACCCGCCCCGCCCCATCTGCCAGTGCGAGGTAGGCCCCGCCCCCGTCCCTCCCATCTGCCAGTGCGAGGTAGGCCCCGCCCCCGCCCCTCCCATCTGCCAGTGCGAGGTAGGCCCCGCCCCCACCCCTCCCATCTGCCAGTGCGAGGTAGGCCCCGCCCCCGCCCCTCCCATCTGCCAGTGCGAGGTAGGCCCCGCCCCCGCCCCTCTCCCCAGGCCCCAGCAGGGCCCCCAGGCAGCCTCCTGTGCCATGGGCTGTGGCAGTAGAAGCCGCTGCTCACCCGCGGCCCAGACCTCATCGCGGTCAGCATCCCCAGCCTGGCCGCCTGGTCACAGAGCCTGGCTGTTTGTGCGGTTGCACTTCTGCTTCCACCATTTGGCCTTTGACCCTCAGGAGGCTGGAGGGAGTAGCAGTTGCCGGTTTTCTGGCTCTTACTCAGAGTGCGAGGCCGAGCAGTGGGCTGGGGGCCTGTAGGGTTCACCTCTCCTGGAAATTTTTCACAATGAGAGAAGGTAACGTGATGGGTGGACAAGCAGTGACATATGTCGTCCTTTGCGTTGCCCGGGCTGCCTGGGACCTGGAGCCGCCTGGGTGGACACAGCTTCTGTGGTGCCCACAGCTCCTGTCCTTAGACGCCCTCCAGCGAGAGGTGGGCAGGGATGACTCCACGACCAGGGTGTGTGGGACCTTCCTCCTCCGCATCTCAGGGCTGCAGGGGGTGCTGAGGAGGTCAGCACAGCATGGAAAGCATGTCCATGGCTCCCAGCTTGCTCCCGGGCCCTGCCTGTGTGTCGGGCTGGACACTTGGGGAAGAGACCCACGTGTTTGCTTCTCCCTGGTCTCACCAGTGGGTTGGGCACTGAGGACACGGCGCCTGCTTGCCTGCCGTGCTTGGGTCACTGCAGGGAGCTTGGACTGCCAGGAGGAGACAGCTTGTGATCCCAGAGGGCAGCTGACTGCTGGCGTCCCTGACTTTGAACCATCCCAGAAAGATTCGTGGGTTTATTTCTTGATGCAATCATGTTAGCCAGATACCACCTTGACTAAAAGCATCTTCACTGTTATTGAATTTGGCACTTAAGTTTTGGGTATAACCTTGTAGACGAAGACTCCATTGCTTCCATTGACTATGTTAGATTTGTCCTCTTTCAACATGCTGTCCTGATAAAGGCATAGGCTTTGGCTTTATTTGCAAAAATCAATGTACAGTGAATTTCAAAAACCCTGATTCTCACATGCAATCAAAAATGAACACTCGGTAGGACCCGCAGGTCCTTGTGATAAACGGTGGTGCTGGCAGTGAGGCTCTGGCCCCCCCTCTGGAGTGAGGCTCCCGCCTGCCTTCTGCAGTGAGGCTCCGCCCACCCTTTGTGCTCCCCAGAGACCTGGGGGTGCTTGCTGTTGCTTCCCTTTCTAGAGTGGGACCGGCCATGACCTGTTCCACTTTTAGGTGCAGATTCTATTTTTTTCCAAATCCCGTTTGAGTGTGTGTGTGTGTGTGTGTGTGTGTGTGTGTGTGTGTGTGTATGTGATACCTTCACTGAAGGAGGTAGAATTTACATACCATAAAATTCACTAATTTTAAGTGCACAATTCAATGATTTATAGTAAGTTTGCAGTTGTGAAAACATCACAACTCAGTTTTAGGACCTCCCATCACCCCCAAAAGCTCCCTCAGGCCGATGCCCCCGGGCACTGGAGACCAGGAGCCTCTTCCTCTGTTGCTTCACCCTCTGCACGCTTGCTGTGGCGGGAGTCATTCCGCGTGTGGTCTCCTGTATCCGGCTCCCCGCCCAGCGTGCTTTCAGGTCCACCCTGTGGGGCCCGGGCGTGGTGCCTGGGCCTCGCCTGTGCTCCGGCCGTCAGCCGACGGACACCTGGACGGACCCCCTGTCTGAGTGTCAGTGGACACTGATGAGGGGCTCCCCGGAGGGCAGGTGCTTGTCTGGGCTACATTCACATGTACACTTGGGCAGACCTGTGTGTGACTGTTAGGAAACTCAGCTTGGCCAGCAGTGCGAGTCCGCCCCATCCACAGCGCTCGCTCCTGCCCTCTGGTTGTAGCCCTGCTGCCACTGGGCGCGCAGCGCCGTCGGTGGGTTTAATTTGCGTCTCCCTGATGACCGATGATGTGGAGCAGCTTTGTGTGTGCTTTTTGGGTAGTTGAATATCCTTTGGGCAGAAATGTCTATTCAAATCTTTTGCCCATTTTTAAATGGGATTGTTCTTCTCCTTATCAAGTGTGGAGACGTCTCTGTGCAGTCTGGATACAAATTTGAAGCCCAGCTTTAAAAAATTTTTTATTTTCATTCTTTCTTATTTTTGGCCATGCCATGCAGCTTATGGGATCTTAGTTCCCCAACCAGGGATTGAACCCATGTCCCCTGCAGTGGGAGTGTGGAGTCCTAACCACTGAATGGCCGGGGAAGTCCCAAGAAGCCCAGTTTATTAAAAAATGTTTTTAATGGAGATCACACTGTTGGTGTAGTATCTCAGAAACTTTGCCTGACTCAAGGTCAGGGAAATCTATTTTTTCCTAAAACATTTATACTTTTGAGTCTTTTGAATTTTTATTTTAATTTATTATTATTTTGGGGGCTGCACCACATGCACAGCTTACTGCATCTCAGTCCCCCAACCAGGGGCGAACCCTGGGCACGGCAGCGAAGGTGCCAGATCCTAACCTCTGCGCCATCGGGAACTCCCTGTAGTTCTTGTGTTAAGATTTATGATCCATCTTGAGCTAATTTTTATGTATAGTGTGAAACATTGTGGACTTGAGCCCAACATGCATTGTTTTACGTACTATATAGATTTACATAGTCAGGTAATTTTCAAATTAAAAATTTGAGTCTGAAAACAGCAAATGCTGAAGAAGATGTGGAGAAAATGGAACCCTCCCACACTGTTGGTGGGAATGTAAATTGGTGTAGCCACAATGCAAAACAGCATGAGGTTTCCTTAATTTGATAAAATTAGAGTTACTGTATGATCCAGCAATCCTGAGCATATATCCAGACAAAATTCTAATTTGAAAAGATAAATGTACCCTAGTGATCACAGCAACAATATCTACAATAGCCAAGACATGGAAGCAAGCTAAGTGTCCATCAGCAGAGGAATGGATAAAGATGTCATGGTGCATGTACACAATGGAATATTACTCAGCCATAAACAAGAGTGGGATCATGCCATTTGCAGCAACATGAACAAACACAGACCTTATCAGACTAAGTGAAGTAAATCAGACAGAGGAAGACAAGTATCATATCACTCATGTGGGATCTAAAAAGTGATACAAGTGAACTCGTTTACAAAACAGAAACAGACTCACAGACACAGAGAACAGACGTGTGGTTGCCAAGGAGGGTGGGGCAAAGCGGGGTGCAGTGAAAACTAGGATGGAGAAAAAACAAGCTCCTGTCGTATATCACAGGGACTATATTCAATATCCTATGATAGATAATAATGGGAAAGAATATGTAAAAGAAAAAATACGTGTTTAACAATCACTTTGCTGTATAGCAGAAATTAACATTGTAAGTCCACTACACAAAATTTCGTTTATTCTTTCGATACACAGGCAGACCTTGCTTTTTTACACCTCTCAGATAACTGTGTTTTTACAAATGAGAGGTCTGTGGCCTCCATGCACTGTCAGGCGATGGTCAGCATTTTCAGGAGTAGAGTGTTTTTTGAGTTCGGTCCATGGACACTGAACAGGCCACAATGCAGCGTAAACGTAGCTCAAACAAGCCGGGACGGCTGAGCCCGTGCGGCTGGCTCTGCTGTGACATTCGCTTTATTCTGGAGATGAACCTATGCTATCTCCCAGGTATGCCTGTAATGATTTAAAATTTCACCTTTTTATTGTAAAAATAAGGCACACTTATTGTAGAAAATACGGAAGCAGCTGGAGCCCACTCCCGGGGCCGCCCGGCCTCTGCTCCTCCATGTGTGTGGTGCTCCTTCACGTCTTATGCTTCACTGAACCCTAGCCTCTTGTGTGTTCGGGGTCCTTGTCTCCACTAACCACATCCTGTCAGGCCTCCAGAGCCTGTGAGCTGGGGCGGCATCTCCTACCCTGACGGCAGGTGTGGGCCATCTTCCCCGACCTCCTGGGGGCCACGGTCACCCAGCCCCTCTGTGGACACGCTGAGTGGTCTCACTTGGGCAATTGTAAATAACACGGTGGGCAGCAATATCAGATACAAGTATTTCTTTGCAGGTGTGATTATGTTTCCTTGATCCCAGGGAGGAAGCCGCCAGATCAGAGTGTGGACGTGTTTCCAGGGTCGTCCAGGCTGTCTCTGAGCGGGTTCCTTAAATAGGGGGGTCGAGGCTGGGCGCCCCCTGCCCGGGAATGCTGGCTCCCACACGCCTCGGGTGGGCGACCACTCACAGAACCGTGACTCGGTCTGTCCTTTGCAGGACTGGAAGGACCACCAGCACATGTGTGGTCAGTCTGCAGCTGTCACTGCCCAGGGGGACGACGTCCACGTTGGCGAGGGCGTGATCGAGAAGGTCACCGTGTGAGGGCTCGTGGCGCCTCTGCGGCCAGGAAGGACCCTGGAGGACAGGGCCTCTGAGGACAAGGAGGAACTTGCTGGCCAAGTTAGGAATGGACGTCGGGCGACCGGCGCCCTTGGCAGCACGCTCCCGCTGCCGAGCTCCAGGGGGCGGGCACTGGCCTCTCCGTGGCTGCTGGTGGACACGGCCTGAGCCCCCGATGCTCGTGGTGCTTTTTTTAATCCCTTGGATCATGAGCGTCCAGTCTTCCCTATGGGTGTGTCGTGTTCTGTAACACGCGTGTACATATATGTGTCTTGTCAATAAAGTTGACACCCCTGTCCCACCCGGACAGGCGACTCCAGCCCTGACCTCCCGTGAGCTGTTCTTTGCACAGCTCAGAAGCCTTGAATGGAATGGCCCTGCCCGGCAGGGGTCCCAGAGCTGCCAGCCGGGAAGACCACGCCCCACTGTCCAGGTCAGCAGTGATGAGGTGCCCTGGCCTTCACTAGGCCCTCCTCTGCAAGAGTAGGCCGGGCCGCTGGGGACCTGCCCAGCGTGGCTCCTGCCCCAGGCCAGCTGTCCCACCCAGCAAGGTGGCAGCCTGGGCCTGGTCCCCGCGGGTTCCCGAGCCTGGCCCATCTATGCCCAGCGCCAGTTCTGGGGGAGCCCTGGGTCTGTGGTGCCCCGCCTTCTCTGCACTGAGGAGGTGGAGGCTCTGCCCCAATCACTGACACCGACGCTTGCCCCCTGCACGGTTCTGCCATGTTCATCTCCCGGCTCCTGCTTCCAGAAGGTTCTCAGTCCATCACATATGGCCTCTGGGGGTGCGCTGGCTCCGGGTGAGCCCAGGGGTGGCTGGAGGCCTGAGGGAGGAGGCTGTGAGCCCAGGAGACCCAGGGCCCGCCCCCACACCTAGCCTGGCTGCAGGGGAGGGCCCTGTCCCCAGAAGTCTCCCAGCGCTCTGCTCGGCCTCTGCAGACTTAAGTGGGTTTATTCGGGTTTTATTCAGCTGGTCTTCACACCTCCACCGCCTCAGGGAAGGCCAGGCCCGGCCTCCTGGGGTTTGCAGAGCTTAAGAGGGCTGGGGATGGCTGTACCCCTGGAAGGAGTCCCCCCAAACATGAAAAGGCTAAAGCGGTGACTGAGGTGGGCATGAAGCCCACAGGCAAAGGGTGCCAGGTCCTTTCCTGATGTCCGGCTCCGGCCAGGGCCCCCTGCAAGCAGTGCAGAGATCTCTGGACCAGACCCTGCAGGGAGGCCATCCTGGGCAAGGGTCTCCTGGGATAGGGGCAGCTTCTCCTCAGGACGGAAGCATGGGGACCATGTGTTTTGGGGGCACTTTCCAAAATGTATGCTTTCTAAGCCTGTGAAGCTGGCTCTGGGTCACGCTGGACGTCAGGAGGTTTCCAGAAATTGTCAGGGTGCCAAGCATGGGTTACACCCTCGGTTCTGTGTCAGCGCTTCCAACGGCATTGCCTTCTGACTGCATCTCCTGCCAGACGCAGCCCCGAGAGACAGGGCAGGGTCGGCTTCTGTTAGCGCAGCGCAGTGGCTGCGGTGCTGGTCCTCTGCTGAAGCGCGGAGGCGCGCGGCATCAGTGGGCCTGCCCGGTGCTGGGACCCTGGAGGCACCTGGTGGGCCCCTGGGTTGGCCAGACTCTGGCATCTGCGCCTGTCCCTCCCGGCCCACCTGTCTGCCGTCCCCACCACGCCCCTCCCCTGCTCAGCTTGCCCTCCATTTCCAGCTTGCCCCTCCCGGGCCCGCCGTGTCCCTCCCCCTGCCTTGTCCCCCTCTTCCAGCTTGTCCCCCGCTTGGAGTCTGCGCACAGGACCAGTGGGGACAGCCCAGGGATAGCAGCAGGCTCTAGCGCATCCACGCCCCCGCCCCCACGAGAGGTGCACTTACTGGTCTGGCCTGTCAGGAACACGGGCGCCCCGTCCCCAGCACAGGAGAGGAGCCGGGGGCGTGGCCTCTCTCCACGCAGACCCTGGGGGTGGGCAGAGCAGCCAGCGTCCACACGGTGTGGCTGCTGCCGGCGCAGATCCTCGGCAGCAGCAGAAACTAGCTCCGGCCCCCGGAAGTGACCACAGAGGGCCCAACGGGTACACGGCAGAGATGGGCTTCAGGGCACGGGTGTGGCATGTGGACCTGCGGGACGTGGAGCCACGGCAGGGCCGGCGGCCACAGTCAGGGCCCCTGCTCCAGTCCTGACCCTGACTCTGACCCTGACCTTGCCGTCAGCCCAGTGGGTCCCTCCCTGGTCTTCACTTCAAGTCTGAGGTTCTCAGAGGGATCACCAGCCCAGCTCTGGAGCAGGTATCCTGCCCAGGCTCGGTTGTACCATCTGGGGCCCTTTCTGGGTATTTGGGCTCCTCCCTGGGCTTGGAGGACCCTCCCTGGGCATTGGGGCTCCCCCTGGGTTTGGGAGACCCTCCCTGGGCACTGGGGCTCCTCCCTGGAAGAGACCCAGGGTACGTGCTGTGGCCATCCTCTTGCTTCAAAGGGGAGGAGCTGCTGGAGGCTGGAGCAGCCACCAGGGCCGGGGTCCCACCCAGGGCCCCTTTCCCTCCATGTCGGCCCATGTGGTGCAGGCACACAGCATCCTGTATGGGCCCCCGTCCCTCAGTGCTCGGCTCCCTGAGAGCAAGTCTCTCCCAGGGTGATATGGACAGGCTGGCCCTGCAGGTGGTCAGGGGAGGCTTCTTGGAGGAGGTGGCAGCTGAACCCTTGAGAAGGAAAGGGTGCTCACCCACAGAGGGAACGGATGGTCCCTCTTTCCAAGGAATAGCTTAACATCCTGAGGTTGGGCCTGATGCTGTTACCTCACAGCCCACAGGACCTCCTTCCAGAGAAGGACTTGGCACCCAATTGTGGCCGGCTCAGTGGTCAGTGTCCCTGACCAGCGCGCTCAGCCACACACAGCACTGGGGAGCGGCGTGGCGTCCACGGCCGGGGACTGAGAGGGCCCAGGTGAAGTCCAGGGGGGGCTGCCTCAGGTTACGGGGGGTCACGCCGTGGCGGGGGGCGGGTGGCTAGCTGCTCTGGCCCTGGGCCTGGCCACCTGGGCAGAGGATGGCTGAGCGCCTTGCAGGTGCGTGCTTGGCCCTCCCGGAGCCCACCCAGCCCCCTGGCCCCTCTCCTGGGCTTCAGGCCTCGGTGGGCAGGCCAGGAGCTGCGTTCTGACCTTGAGGGGGCTGCCAAAGTGGGGGCAGGGCCGGTGGACGGGCCACCAGGACAGGGGAGGAGGCTGCCGGCCCGGGAGCAGAGTCGGGTGGAGGTGCGTGGGGGCGGGCAGCTCTCAGAGGAAGGTGTGAACCCAGGCAGCCTTCCCAGGTCACGGGCACCCCTGTTCCCGGGCATGCACCTCCGTGTCGTCCCACTGCCCAGCCCAGGGCTCAGCCAGGACCTTCCTCGAAGGAAGGAAAGGGTTAACTGACCAGATGGGAGCCAGTGGGGGTGCCTCCTCCTCGCCCCCCCCAAAGCCTTCCCAGCAGGTGACCCGGGATCTGTTTAATTACTCCTACAAAGCCCCAGGCCAGGCGGTCCCGGCCAGGGGAGGCCGCGCGGGCGCTCTGTCAGCAGCAGAGGCGCAGAGCCTTGCGAAAGACGGTGCGGAACTCGGCGTTGAAGATGGTGTAGATGACGGGGTTGAGGGCGCTGTTGACGTATCCCAGCCAGGTGACCGCGCTGACCAGCCGCGGGGACACGGCGCACGCGGGACACAGCGCCCGCGTGATGTGCACCACGAAGAAGGGCGTCCAGCAGAGCAGGAAGGCCCCTAGGGGCGGGGCGGGGCGGGGCAGGGTCACCGCCACGCCCCCCGCCCTGCGAACCGCCGCCTCCCCTCCGCCGCGCCCCCCCGGGGACTGTACCCACCGACCACCACCGGCAGGACCCTCATAGCTTTGCGCTCCCGGCCTGTGATCTTGGCACGTCTCCTTCGGCGGGCCTGAGGCGGCGGTTCGGCCGCAGTGGGGTCCGGGGGCGCGACGGCGTCCGGGGCGGGGATGGCGTCGGGGGTCGGGCCGAGATCGGGGGCGGGGGCGGCGTCGGCGGCCGGGTTGGCGGCCGGGGCGGGCGGGCCGGGGCCGCTAGGTCGGCGGGGCGCACGGCCGTGCAGCTTGGCGCGGCGGGCTGCCCCCCAGCGCCGCAGGCCGCGGAACGTGGCCCAGTACAGCAGCAGCATGAGCGGGCAGGGCAGGAAGAAGGAGCACACAGAGGAGTAGACCACGTAGTCGCGGTCCTCCAGGCGGCACACGGAGGGGTCGCGGCCGCGCGCGTCGTTGAGGCCGAACAGCACGGGCGCCGCCACCGCCGCCGACAGCAGCCACGTGGCGCCGATGAGCAGCAGCTGCCGGCCGCCGCGGCTCTGGCGGTTGTAGCGCAGGGGCACGGCCACGGCCACGAACCTGCGGGGAGCGCGGTGAGGGCGGCGGGGCGGGGCGGCCCGACGGGGCGCGGCCACGGCCACGAACCCGCGCGGAGGGCGGCGGGGCGGGGCGGCCACGGCCACGAACCCTCGGGGAGCGCGGTGAGGGTGGCGGGACGGGGCGGCCTACCTGTCTATGCTGATGGCGCACAGGTTGAATATGGAGGCCGTGCACAGCATGACGTCCATGGCCATGAGCGCGTCGCAGAGGCCGGGGCTCAGCAGCCACACGCCGCCCTGCACCTGAGCGCGGGGAGGGGCCGCAGCAACAGTAGTCGCGGGAAGTTGACCTTCCCCCGCCCCGCCCCCGAGATGTCTTCCTGACCCCGGCTATTGCGGGCAGCGAGGGAGCTGAATATCAGCGGAGCCAGAGCAGGAATGCCCCGGGGAAGCTGGGCGGTCCTCCCCTCCCCACAGGCCAGAGCCAAGAGACCTCCCATCCTTCCTGTTAGAACTGGGAAACGCCTACGGGTTGGAGGGGGGTCTTGGGGGCGTAGGCAAGGGCGGGCTGTGATCCCTGATGCTGTGGGGCTCAGCGTGCGCGGGGCTCCTCCCTGCAGGTGGGGACCTTGATGCCCTAGAGCGTGAGCCCAGCACTCATCCCCCTCTCCAGCAGACGCGCAGTTGGCCTGTCTGCTGAAACTCTGTCCCTGGGACGCTGGACAGGTCATCCCACTCTCGTCCCTGCACTCTTGAAGTCCTCACTTCAAGGAAGTACCAGCCTCAGCCCTGTGCCCAGCGCCCCCATCAAGGGCAAAGGAGCAGACAGCCGCCCCTTCTAAATCCCCTCCTGCTGACTTGGGACGATTAGGAGCTTAAGAGCCGTCACTGTGACGTCTGTCTACAGCTCGGGTGGGGGGGCAGTAGGTCATGCCCGTCCCTGTCCTGCTGGCCTCTGCCCAGCGCTGCCTGGACTCACCGTCTACCTTAGAAAACCATGCCTCCCCTCCCCCCACAGCCCGGGACACCGCGTCCCCAACTCAGCCTAAGCAGCTTTTCTCTGCCCAAACGGCAGAGTGTACATGGCTGGCACCAAGGGGGACCCACCCGAGGGCCAGACCTGACCTGGGTGTGGCGGTTCTCGGACCCAGGTTCTGGGAAAGGTCCTTCCCCGGCCCGGGGGGTGGGGGGTGGTTCCCTTCCTCCAGCCAGGCTCACTGCCCTGCACCTCCTGGAAGCTAAGGGTCCCTCCTGTTGAGAGCCGCTCAGCGCAGGAGTGAGGGTGTCCTGCCGGGTCGTGCTCATGTGTGAGCACGTTTGGTTCTGTGTGGCTGTGGCCTCGTGGGGTGACCTCTGTGTCTCTGCCCCAGGGGAGCCGGGGTGGGGTAAGCCTGCCTCTGCCAGTCTATCCAGCTGGCTCCCCCTGGGGGACTGGAACCCAGCGGAGGGGGCTGGGTGGGGGGCTGGACTGCCAAAGCCGCCTGTTACTGGGGTCTGTGCTTAAAGGACAGAAGCATCTCTTGGGTAACAGAGAAGGCCAAGCGGAGAGAGGGACAGAGTGGGAGGGCTGACGGACCGCGGAGCGGACAGACGGACAGCGGGATGGAGGAAGGGAGTGAGGTTCAGCGGGGCCCCGGCTCCGGTCGTCCTGGGAACCGCACAGCGCCCAGCTCCAGGATCCCGAGAAGCCAAGCGGCGGGGTCGGGCTCGGTCCTCCGTGTGGCCGGGACAGGGGACCCGGAGCGGGTGAGGGTGAGCGTGCGGGGGCGACGCGGGCTCACCTCGGAGTAGACGAAGAGAGGCAGCACCAGCAGCGCGAGGAGCAGGTCGGCGGCCGCCAGACTCACGATGAAGTAGTTGGTGGGCGTCTGCAGGGCCCGCTCGGCCGCCACGCTCATGCACACGAGCGAGTTCCCCGCGAGCACAGCGCCGATAAGCAGCACGCCCCCCACCAGCGCCGCCGTCGCCCCGGGGCCCCCGGCGCCGATGCCCGTGCCGAGCGCGCGCCCGGCCAGCAGCGCATCCGCGTCTGCGGCGCTGCGGTTCCCCATGGCGCCTGGCCCGCGCGCCCCGCCGGGCGCTCAGCACCGCGGACAGTCCCGGCCTCGCGCTGGAGCCCCGCCCTTGGGCCCGCCCAGCCCGGCCTTAGTCCCGCCCCGGCCGCCCGGCTCCGCGGACCCCAGGGCAGTCCAAGCTGCACCCAGTTTTGGCCCATCTTGGACTTCGCCCCTAGAGCCGGGCAGATGGACAAACGCCACGGCCCAGCGCCGGCCCAGTGAAGGGATGTGACTGGCATGGGCGGGCCCAGAATCGCTCTCTGCCGCGCAGGGCTGCGGGACGACGCGCGGCTCTGAGCCCAGAGAAACCCACGGGAAGAAAGGGCGGCCCGACCATCCCTCGAGACTTGCGGGCACCCACGCCAGCGCCACCAAGTCCGGCCTCAGAGACCCCAGCGACCCTGCATGGGCCCAGGCTGGGCGTCCCCCTCCGGAGATGCTTCTTCAGACCCCCGAGGCGGAAGTGGAGCCACTCCTCACTCAATCCGGGTGGAGCCGCGTGGGGAGCATCCTTTCCAGGCTGCTTCCACCAGACGCTGGCACACCCCAGCCCAGGCTCCCCCTCCGTCCCTCCATGCGCACTCCTCTCTCTACACCCCAACCCAACCTGGCCTCTCTGGCCCCTTCATGTCCCCCTGCAATGATTGCAGACCCCAGCCTGGGTCCCTGCACCCAACTCCCCAGAGCAGCCTCTCCACCAGCCTGGACCACACTCAGTCACTCTCCAACCCACAGCCACTGCCTGACCCTTCCTCCTCCCCCAGGTGGGCAACCCTGATCCTGGC